TTTCAAAATAGTTGGTCAGTTAATGGTGACAATAACCTCATTATTTGCACGAAGTGTATTTTGCTTAGAATTTTCTTAAAATATTTAAACGGAATTTATTATCATTTCTTTACTTTTTTTTTTTCTAAATATCCATGAAGTACTGTTTTGTGAGACTTGTAGAGAAACATAAACATGATATGCTAGGGGAACAAACACTTAAAGAATAAAATATTCAATATATTCTAATTAGATCAATAAAATTCTAAAATACAGCACTCTAATATGTAGTGATTATAGTTATATATCAATATTACATGGTGCTGTAGAACAAAAGGTTATCTAAGAAAGCTGATGTAGCATTTTTCTACTGTGTAGTCTATGGAATGGGATACTAGTCATGTGACATGCTCTATGGGAAGAAGGAAAAAAAAAAACTGTTGAAGCATTTGTGTGAAATACCTCTCCTAGATAATGTGGATTTGTTAGGTATCTTCACAAAAGTATCAGATAGGCTGTTTAACTTTTTTACTCCACATTTCTCAAACCGTGGGATGATTTTTGTGCTTTAAAACACAAATGGCCTCTACTCTCCTCCCCTCAATAGCATCTGGTAAATACTAATTGAATACACTATGGCATGGTGACCAGGGATGCTTGGTGCCTCAACATGGTTGCAAGAACGGAGACAAAAAAGAGATCCATTTCCAGAATTGACCAACTTCCTTGTAACTAGCAATAGAGCTAGAACTAAAACCAAGGGCTCCTGGCTGCACAGGGACTTCTCTGAGGCCATGGTCAAGTGTCTGCAGTGGTAGTGTCAGGGCTAGGGCATGAAACACATCAGGGTTCTGAAAGAAAGTTTTATACCAAGAGCTAATTAGAAGGACTTAGGGGATAGAATTCTGATGTTCTAGAAAATACAGTGGTCAGAGCTAAAGCCAATCTATGAATGTAGTCATGAAAAAGTAGCAAACATGGTACCTTACCATCTCGGCAATGTAATAGGAGGGTGGTAGTTTGGGGATAAGAGAAGCACATTGTACATGTCAATTACAAAAGCCCCTGACTAATTAAATGGTCCTTGTCATCTGCCTGCTTCATAATTCAGTTTAACTGAATACTTATACAGTAACACCTTTAAATATACACATAAAGTAAAAGGAACATACGTTGAATGTAAGCACATTATGAAGGTCTATACATAAAACAGGAAATGCATACAACTAAATAGGATGCCTTAATTACTCAATGATACCATTTTAGCATAAAAGCAAAGTATCAACCTGAGGGGTTTTGGGGGAGGTTGTGTAAAGAATTAAGTTGAACTGTTTTTTGTATGTTTTACCTGAGGACGAATGAGGTTATATTTTTGTTTTCATTTAAATTTCAGTTAACCTGCATTATAATGTTAGTTTCACTTGTACAACATAGTGATTCAACATTTCTATACATTGCTCTGTGTTCATCACAAGTGTACTCCTTAATCCCCATCATCAATTTCACCACCACCCCCCACCTCCCCTCAAGTAACCATCAGTTCTCTGTAATTAAGAGTTTGTTTCTTGGTTTGCCTCTTTTCCCCCCCTTTGCTCATTTGTTTGCTTAAAACCCACACACCTAAAATCATAGGGTATTGGTATTTGGTTGACTTATTCTGATTAACATAATACTCTGTAGCTCCATCCATTCGTTGCAAATGGCAAGATTTCATTCTTTTGTATGGCTTAGTAATCTTCCATTGTGTGTATGTATATGTACATACACATAGATATATGTATACATCTATATATGTGTATATACCATATCTTACAGATGGGTTACTTTTCAATAAAGGTGCAACATCTGTTTCTTAAACTCAATATTATATAGTATCACCTACAAAATAAATTCATAACATCCAGATTGTCACTTGTAGTCCACCTATTTCGAGTAATGAGTGAAGAAATTAGTCCTGTAGATAATTCATAGTACTTAAGCTCTTTCTTATGTGAAGTATGGAGAATGCATGGTCTCTTGTGACCTAGAAGTCTTCACAACTGTTCATTTTTAAGTGGAAGAGAGCTTTTGAGCATAAATCTGAGGTGTATTGTTCTCATTTGTAATTGGACTTAGAAAAGCATCCACTGTTAAACTCACTGAATCAAAGGATAAGTCTGAAGTGTGGGTATACTTTGTTTTCCATGGGAAGTATGTACTTTCTTAAGTTGCATGGAAAATACCAATTCAGCTACCAGTTTCCACAGCTCCCATTTTCAAGTGAGCAGTGCTGCGGGGCTAACAGACCTGCTTGAAATGGCCAACGATTTGTCCCCGTACTTATTCTCAATGCCAGAAGACCACAACTTCTGCCAAAGGCACCACTGTAGGTAGAAATAACCAACCTGTAAATGCCTATGGCTGCACAGCTAAAACAATAAAGTTTTGGAAAGTGTATTGAAGTCCATGGTGACCCTGCAGTGTCAGCATTTCCAGAGATGTTTTTGGCTCTTGCTCTGGTCATTATTCCATGTAGCAGAAAAAAAAAAAAAAAAACTGGAGCAGTCATGTAGGTGATTCATTATATTGAAACAGCTCTTTGGCTGATGGAATGAGGACTCCACCACTAGTACTTCCAGCAAACTCTAAGGTCCACAAGATCAGGGTCCATGTCTTCCCTGTCTCTGGATTAAAGCAAGGTGTAGTGTTGAATGTTAATCAAAAGGATGGGACAAGTAGTATCTCCTGAAGCAATTGCTATCTCGGTCTGGGTCGTGGTCCAGGAGATGGTGATCCAGGTTTCAGAAATTTTTAAGTATAGTTGACAAAGAATGCTGTATCAGTTTCGAGTATACGACAGTGATTTGACAACTCTACATGTTATGCTGTGTTCACGTGTAGCTACCATAGTTCACCATGCAATGCCATTGACCATATTCCCTATGCAGTACCTTTCATACTCCTGACTTATTCCATAATTGGAAGCCTGTACCTCCCACCCTTTCACTCATTTTGCCTATTTCTTCCCTTCTGTCAACCACCTGTTTGTCCTCTGTATTTATGGGTTTATTAATGCTTGGTTTTGCTTTTTAGAGTCCACTTATAAGTGTCTTTTGCCTGACTTCTTTCACTTAGCAATATACTCGCTAAGTTCCTCCCATGTCATTGCAAATGGCACAATCTCCTCCTTATGTCTGAGTAATACTATTACACACACACACACACACACACACATATATATATAAAATGATGTCTTTATTCATCTATCAGTGGACACAGATTGCTTCCATATCTTGGCTCTTGTAAATAATGCTGTAATAAACACAAGTGCACATACCCTTTTGAACTAGGGTTTTCTTTGGGTAAATAGCCAGTAGTGGAATAACTGCATCGCAAAGTATTTCTATTTTTGTTTGACAAACCTCTATACTGATTTCCACAGTGGTTGCAACGAGTTTACATTTACACCAACTGTGTCCACAAAGGTTCCTTTTTCTCCATATCGTCACCAACACTTGATATTTCTTGTCGTTTTGATATTAGCTATTCCTGATAGATGTAAAGTGATGTGGTTTGGGTTTCCATTTCCCTGATTAGTGATGTGGAGCATCTTTTCATGTGTCTGTTGGCCATGTATATGTCATCTTTGGAAAGATGTCTCTTGAGGTCCTCTGCCCTACTTTAATCAGATGGTTTTTTTAAGGTCTTTATATATCTTTGATACTTAATCCCCAATGGATATATTATTTGTAAATATTAGGTTTCTGTCTAATTTTGAGGATGATGCCCTTTGCTGTGCAAAAGCTTTTTATTTTAGCGTAGTCTTAGTCATTTAGTCTTGCTTTTTTCTCCCTTGCCTAGGGAGACCTATCAAGAAAAATGTTACTGAGGCCATTGTCAAAGAGATTACTACCTATGTTTGGAAATGACTTTCATTGCACAGGTGGCCCAGGTCCTGAGGGGATTGTCTTGAAAGGAGTGAAAGAGGCATTGAACATGGAAGACACTACTGCAGCAGAAACCGCTATGATGGGTACAAGAAGAGATAAATTAGTGAATTAGCACCTTAACCAAGAATCATGAACTGAGCCCATGTAGAGGGCCTCATAGAATTGCATTTTTCAGTTTTGGAAAATTAAAGACCAGGTGGTGACCTGCCTATTGACCTGTGACCTCTTGTCGGGTTTCTTATGTGATTTTAGATGAATCAGTCCCTGTGGATTCCAGGAATGCTAACCATTAAAAATTCTAAGCATATTCAGAATTGGAACTATACAGCCATTTTGGAAAATATTAGTTAAAACTTCTCTATGGAGTATAATGGTATGTAAATTAGGGAGTGTGGCACAGAATGAAGTGAAATTCCTGCTGAATCCTCAAGGGTATTTTCCAAGTTCCGAGTGCTCAAATTACTTGATTTTGTTAAAATGCAGATTTTGATTCACTAGTTCATGGTGGGGTCTGCGATTCTGCATTTCCGATCAGCTCCAGGTGATACAGATGCTGCTGATACATGGACCGATCTCAGTAATAGGGTTAAGGTTGCTGTTTCTCAAACTTGGTTTCACATGGGAATCATTAAAAAAAATACTGGGAAAATTTTGAAGGTATACTGATGTCTGGGTCTCAACCCTAGAGATTCTGATTTAATTGGTAAGAGATGTGGCCTGGGCATCAGGATTTGTGAAAAGGTCCCTGGGAGATGACACTGTGCAGGTAGGTCAGACAATTGATGTTCTAGGACTGGATTTAGTTTACTTTTGAGAAGAAATAACTCATTTAGGTATCTGATCTTACACTTTCTAAAGTAAATACTATAATTTTTTAGCAGTTAATACATCAAAATTTACATGTACGACATATGAAGGGCTGTCTTATAAAATCTGAAAGCATATGTAATAAGATCCTAACACTAAGAACATATTTTCATACCACAGCTCTTAAAAGTTCAATAGTAAAGTGCAGTTCTATCAAGAACTAGAAATGAACTCTGATGTAGGATTAACCTTGTAGAATGTGAAACATTTTGTTTTCCCTTGTAGGTTGCAGCAATCTACAAGGACTCAAGTATTGGAAATCTTATCAACATAGTAATCGTGAAATTAGTTGTAATTCATAATGAACAGGTAAGAAACTGGTTGAAGTTAGTATCCTTAATAGTAGTAGACTTTACATACAGATCACAAAACTGTTACTAGAAATGAGCTAGTTCTAAAAATTTACATTCAAAAACTTGAATGGGAGTGATTAACTTACTTTGTGATGGAAATAAAAGGAAATAATAATTTAAAAGCAACTAAGTATTCCCTTTTGTAATCCTACCCTTGAAGGATTTGTAACAGTTTTTACAAATTTTTTGATTCTAAATATTAGATGGTTTCATGGAAAAGGTCTCACTAGATTCCGTTTTGATCCTGATGTTTTAAATATTGCTAAGATATTTTTTTAAAAATATGAAGGACAGGTGTCACTTTATCTGCTTCTGAAAATGCTATTTGATAAACTACGAGGATGCTGACAAGCTTGGAGAAAAGAGGATATGGATGTTTTAATGTATTATTAAATTCTTTTTTTTTTATTTTTTTGTGTGCAGGAAGGACCAGTCATCAGTTACAATGCAGCTACCACATTACGTAACTTTTGTTTATGGCAGCAAACTCAGAATGTTCTTGATGATGCTCACCCTTCTCACCATGACACTGCTGTTCTTATCACTAGGTAGTTTTAGAAATAACCTTCCCACCACAGTGGTTTACCTTTCTGTCCTGCGTGATCACTGCTATTTCTTGTTACCTTCTTTATCGATACATGGAAGCGTTCTCTAAGAACTTGTCTTGCAAAAGATACTGTTGAATGAAAACATTGTTCTTGCAGACCAAAATTCAAATGGATTCCTTAGGAAATTAGCAATGTTAGGTTGCTGAGGAGTGAACTGACCCAAACAAAATAATTTCCTTATTAGTGACAGAACTAGGAAAAATATTTGGAAACAAACATAGTTATGGAACTGAAAACAGGTTATGTTCCTTCCCCACTTGATACTTCAATCACTTGGAAGAGCTTTTGAATTTTAACTGGTTGCCTACTTTTTTGGCTACTTGTACTTTAAAAAGAAAAAAAAAAACAACAAAAAACCTATTGTTTTGATGCTCAATACATCTCTTAATTGCTAGACTGTATTTGCAAGGGTCTTAATGTGCTTACTTACTAAAAACAACTTATTAAAAAATATCCATTTTACAAGCACCACTCTACATTGTTAATTCATGCCTTTGCTTCAGCAACACTGGTCACCAGAATAATTAGATTTTAGGATTGGCTGGTTGGTTGACAGAAGGAAATAATTCTTCCATTTAGGGGTCAGACTCATAATCTGCTTTCTAGAACCCTGAAATGAAACCCTCAGTCCATGTAAAATAGCTGACATGTAGGAAAGACCAGAGAATTGTCAGATGGGTTAGGGACTAAGTAATGCAGAAGGAAAAACAAAACAAAACCAAGTTGGTGATATCTGAAAACATCCTTATTTGTCATGGAGAATAATCACTGCAGCTCATAGTGATGCGCAAGCATCAAGGAAAGGGTAAACTCTATTACATGTACTGCATAAGTAAAGGCAGAGGTGAAAAATGTAATTAGAAAGCTTGTTACTGAACTTGATTAAAGCTTCAACTATTCACAGCAGACTCTCTTGTATAGCTTCTATTGCTTATTGATATATACAAGAGGTGTATACCTTGGGTTTAAATTATTGAGAGTTTAAGACCCGGATTTGGAAGGCAGTTGATGGTAATGGTCATATTACAGTTTAAACTTCTTTATCTTTGTTTTGAATTGTTGCAAAAAACTTTGCTGAAAATGTTTCAAAATTTTTTGTTTTAAGGGAAGACATTTGTGGAGCTAGGGAGAAATGTGACACATTAGGTAAGTTATTTTGCAAATTAAATACAACTTACATAATTATTTCCTGAATTGTTTAAAATGTTTCTTTTCCTTTTATTTTACATTGTAATCCTTTTGATTGTCGTAATGATGGTCGTTATTAGCTTCTGCTTCAATACATTTTAAAGAAGAACAGCAAATATGGTGCCCATTGCTAAATATCAAGTGTCGTGCAAAGCTGGACATGAAGTGTTTAGTTATGTAATATTTGATCCACACAAAATAACATATAAACTATATGCGGATTTAAAGCAAAACAAAACAAAACAAAACGAACAGCCATAAATCTACCACCAGATTTAAGAGCCAAAACTTAATACTATCATATGGCCTATGCTAAGTCCTTACTCTATCCTTTTTGCGTGCCTCCAGCTAGTAGCCAATACCATGAATTCTGTATGTCCCAGTTACTTTCATCTTTTGAAAAACAGTTCTCTATGTGTGTGCTCATAAAAGAAATTGTTCGATTTTGCTTTTTGAGCATAGTGGTTGTAGTTCATGAATTCTCACTGCTGTGTAATATTTTCTCCTCTGTTTACATATTTCATGCTATTGGTGGATATTTTGGCCAATTCCAGTTTTTCATTACGAATTTCACTTTAAAATCTAGTGTATATTCTACAATTGAACTGTTATGTCATTAAATGTGCTAATGTTCAACTTTGGTATATCTTCACATGGTTATACCAATTTGCACCTTTATCAATAGTTTATTCTAAACATTGCTTTTGATTATGTCCTTATCAACACAAGGTATCTAGAGAATTATCATTTTTGCCATTTTAATGTAATTTCATTATAGTAGTAATTTTCAGCTCCACGATTATTGAATTTGAACATCTTTTCATAGCTACTGGCCATTCGTACTTCTTTTGAGAAATGAAATAAGACCCATTTTTCCTATTTTTTGGTGTTAGTCATTTTCTTACTGCTTATTTTAAGTTTTAAAAATTATTTTCTAAGTTTTCATTTAAATTCCAGTTAATACAGTGTAGTATTAGTTGCAGGTGTAGAATCTAACGATTCAACAGTCCATACAACACCCAAAGCTCCTCACAGCAAGTGCCCTCACTAATCCCCATCACCTATTTAACCCCTCCCTGCCCACTTCCCTTCCGGTAACCATCCATTCTCTACAGTTAAGAATGTATTTCTTGGTTTTCTTCCCTCCACTGCCATGTTCATTTGTTTCATTTAAATTCCACATGTGAGGGGCGCCTGGGTGGCGCAGTCGGTTAAGCGTCCGACTTCAGCCAGGTCACGATCTCGCGGTCCGTGAGTTCGAGCCCCGCGTCAGGCTCTGGGCTGATGGCTCAGAGCCTGGAGCCTGTTTCCGATTCTGTGTCTCCCTCTCTCTCTGCCCCTCCCCCGTTCATGCTCTGTCTCTCTCTGTCCCAAAAATAAATAAACGTTGAAAAAAAAATTTTTTAATTCCACATGTGAGTGAGATCATATGGTATTTGTCTTTCTCTGACTGACTTTGCCTAGTCTGTAGCACTCTACCTCCATCCACATCATTGCCAATGGCAAGATTTCATTCTTTGTGATGGCTGAGTAATACTCCATTGTATGTGTACATATGTATATATGCACACAAACACCAATCACAACTTTATCCATTCATTGGTCAATAGATATTTAGGCTCTCTCCATAATTTGGCTATGGTAGATGATGCCACTACAAACATCTGGATACATGTACTCCTTGGAATCCGTGTTATTGTATCCTTGGCATAAATACCTAATAGTGCAATTGCTGGGTCATAGTTCTATTTTTAACTTTTTGAGGAACCTCCATACTGTTCTCCATAGTGGCTGCACCAGTTTGCATTCCCACCAACAGTGCAAAGGGTTCCCCTTTATCTGCATCTTTGCTAACACCTGTTTGCTGTGTTAATTTTAGCCATTCTAACAGATGTGAGGTGATACCTCATCGTAGTTTGGGTTAGAAAAATCTTAAATAACCTAACCTTAGTCCTAAAGGAGCTAGAAAAAGAATAACAAATGAAGCATAGAGCCAGTGGTAGAGGGGAAATAATTAAGGTTAGGGCAGAAATAAGTGATATATAAACTCAAATAGTAGAACCTATCAATGAAACCAGGAGCTGGTTCTTTGAAAAAATTATGGTATTTGTCTTTTTCTGAATGACTTATTTTGCTTAGCATAATACCTCCTAGTTCCGTCCATATTGTTGCAAATTTTTAACATTTTCTTCTTTTTATGGCTAATATTCCATCGTATATGTACACTACAGCTTCTTTATCCATTTGTCCATTAATAGACGCTTGAGTTGCTTCCATACCTTGGCTATTGTACATAATGCTGCAATAAGCATAGGAGTGCATGTATCTTTCTGGGTTAGTGTTTTTGTTTAGGTAAATACCTAGTAATGGAATTACTAGATCATGTGATATTTCTATTAATTTTGGGAGGAACCTCCATATTTTCCACAGTTGCACCATTTTACCTTTCTACTAACAGTGCATGAGTGTTACCTTTTCTCCACATTCTTCTCAATGCTTGTTACTTCTTGTCTTTTTGATACTAGCCATTTTGACTGGTATGAGGTGATACCACATATGGTTTTGATTTGCATTTCCCTAATACTGATGCTGAACATAATTTCATGTGTTGGCCATCTGTGTGTCGTCTTAGGAAAAATATCTGTTCAGGTCCTCTGCCCATTTTTTACCTGGATTGTTTTTTGAGTTCTTTATATATCTTTGATATTAATCCCTATTGGATATATTATTTGCCAATATCTTATTCAGTAGGTTGCCTTTTCATTTTGCTGATGGAGTTCTTTGCTGTGCAAAAACTTTTTATTTTGGTGTAGTCTCAATAGTTTATTTTTGGTTTTGTCTCTGAGGAGACATGTCTATAAATATGTTAAGGCTAATGTCCAAGAGATTACTGCCTGTATTTTCATTTAGGAATTTTATGGTTTCAAGTCTCACATTTACGTCTTTGATCCGTTTTGAATTTATTTTTGTGTATGGTGTATGAAACTGGACCACTTTGGCTTTTTGAATGTAGCTTTTCAGTTTATACCATTTATTGAAGAGACTCTTTTCCCCATTTTGTATTCTTGCCTCCTTTGTTATAGATTGCCCATAGGAGTGTGGGTTTATTTCTGGCTATCCTCTTCTATTCGTGTGTGTGTGTGTGCATGTGCACACGCGTGTGCATGTACACTAGTACCATGCTGTTTTGATTAGCTTTGTAGTATAGTTTGAAATCTGGGATGGTGTTATCTCCAGCTTTGTTCTTAATTCTCTGAAAGTATTCTTATTATCCTTTAAATCAAGGGTCATGATAATGATAGCTGATATTTGAGTGTTTACCATGTATCATACACTCTTGTGAGGTTTTGTGTGATTTAACTCATTCAATCTTCACAACAAATCTTTAAGAATAGCTTTCAGCTTCATAGATGAGGACAAGTAATTTGCCTGCGGGTACACAACTTATATTAACACAAGTATTAGTATTTAATTTTCTCATATAAAATATGTGGAAAAATTGTGAGATTTTTTTTTGCTGTATTTTGTAGATGCCATTGCCCCAGTCTCTGAGCGCTTTTTGCAAAGTATATTGTAAAATAATTTTTACTTCTAGGGCACCTGGGATTTAAGCTTCTGACTTCAGCTCAGGTCATGATCTCACAATCCATTAGTTCAAGCCCAACGTTGGGCTCTGTGCTGACAGCTCAGAGCCTGGGGACTGCTTCAGATTCTGTGTCTCCCTCTCTCTCTCAAAAATAAACAGACATTAAAAAATTAAAAAGGAGTTTTATTCTTTAAGGTGGTTAGATTGGAGGACTCTGTGCAGCTTCTTGAACTTCCAAACACAGGGAATGGGTATGAGGTTAGGGCCCATACCACTTTATCCTACCTCTGACCACTTTCATAGAACCGAATATCCGCTTGAGTGAATGTAGGCACAACCATCAGTTAGCTGCTTCGAACCATAATGTTATATATTCACTTTGATTTTGTTTGTTCTTGCCTGTTTATGGGCATACTTGAGTATGGACTTCAATCATACACAATACATGTTTCCACAGATCTGTTATGTGATTAAAATGTTTAGCTTAGAATATATCCATCTCTGAGCATGAAACCAAGTTTGGGTGATAAGAGTCCATATTTTGTTTGAAATGCCTACACAGCCTTAAAAATGAATATATGGAAATGGAGTGATTTAACAGATTGAAAATACTAATGGAGGCATGGGAATGGCAAGATACTCAATTAAAATGGTTAGTTTTAACTTTTAGTAAAGGAGAAATGTAAAATTGGCCAAAATTGACTAAAAAAATGGCACACACAAGCATCAAGTCCTAGTTAAGGAAAACAATTCTTTCATACTTTGGACAGCAGACTTTAAATCCTATTTTTTCCCTTACTCGTTTTTGGCCTTGATTCTGACCAAGAAAAAGGTTTTGGTGGGGAGCTTTGCCCAAGCAATGACTTTGGGTGTGGGTTCCGAAAGAGCAAATACTCTTTTTTATTAAAGAGAAAAGCATTGGCAAGTGAACTTGTTAGTCTGAATTTTTCCAGCATTTTTAGATTCCTCGGGTTAATATCTTTTAAAGTGCGCAAGCGCACACACACACACTTGGTACGAAATTTAAGTGCTAGGAAAATGTCCATGTTCTTAAGTTTTATGATTGAAATAGTATATAGGCGCATGGGGTTAAAACACAGTGGTTAATAGAGGTCTGTATTAAGAAATTTATGAATGTACAAACTTTCCAGTAAGAAACGGGTTATATATGAAAAATTCTGCTTTCTTATGAAAGGAATTTACCTAGCAGAGCAGATAGTTTACAAGAAAATAAGAGGATGGTAGTAGTGAAAACTATGCTATTAAGGAAAATGCCAACTTGGTTGAGGTAATACGTATTGTTGTAAGGAACACTTAATGTCAATTTCTTCTAGACTATTTTTCATGGATTCTATCAGCTCTAATTCTTTTTGTTCAGTCAGTTCATACTGCAATTGGCATGACATGATATCCTTTATCTTAAAGAGTAAATCTATCTTAATCAACCTTCTTTAGATAAATACAAAATTATTGGGTGCCCTTAATATATGAATCCTATTTTATTTAATATATATTAGATACCAGGTGCTATTCTATGCATTTAACATACATTCACTCATTATAATTAATTGTATGCTGCCTCAAAAGTTTTTAAAATGAAAATTTATTATAGTGGTGTATTTTCTGTATTAGTTCTATTACCAATTTAAACATTCATTGCCTTTTCTAGTATCCACACTAATGGGGCCTAAAACTTCATCCTTTGTATAACAAATACTTTTTCCTCTTCCTTTTTTTTTTTAAACACTTGTTTGCCCCATATTTTGAATTATTTTCTTCAGCAAAATCCAGGAATTGGTAAAAAATATTTCAACTGCAGATAAATCATTCTGTTCTTTTTTTCCTTCACGTTAAAAAACACATCTTTCCTTATGTGATATTAACAGCCAACTCTACATCCTTTTTTTTCCTTGCATCCATTTCTAAGTAGTAATGCCCATAGTAAATGCTTTATTTATGATTTGATGTTTCCTATTTTCAAATACAACTATGAAATTTTTCAGGTTTAGCAGAATTAGGTACCCTGTGTGATCCTTTACGGAGCTGCTCTATTAGTGAAGAAAATGGACTGAGTGCTGCCTTTACCATAGCCCACGAACTTGGCCATGTGTAAGTACCTTCTGCTACCTCAGTAATAGGTTTTCTAGTAATCACTGCATAGAAGACCTAAAATTCCATCTTCAGTTGAGTAATTAGCAGCTCTATGTCTTAAAAAAATATTGTTAGTATAATTTTCATCCCTGAAATGCTAACTCTGGCTCTTTTGTGATCTGTTAGGTCAGACAGGCTGCACTGATCAACAGACTAAGCAAAGAACTAGCACTTGGGAATTCTTTTATTTCATTTACTGTATTGGATTACTATGACCAGCACTTCTGGCCTCTATCCCTTGTTACCCCATACATGACCAGGTACTGTCCTCTACCATCTTATGGGAGGGCCTGCAGGGGCTTCTGGTTCTGGGGAACTCCTGATAATAATGACAATACCAACTCACTTTTGCTCTTGAAGCTCAGAGCCCCAGCAGAGAATGTGGTATGTGGGAATTACTTAATCATTAAAAGATTTTTAAGTCATTCTTCCAGCTCCGTAGTTGTGTGTGTGTGTGTGTGTGTGTGTGTGTGTGTGTGTTTCTTTTTCTAAAAATTAGGGAGGGGTTCTATCCTTTCCTGCATTATTATAAGTTCTGCTGGGGTTCTGTGCTCTAAGAATGGAGGCCATGATTCCATGAGATAACCTCAGAGCTCCCATGGAAAGTCAGAAACCCCTACAAACTCATCCTCTGAAAGTGATTCCGAATGTGCACCCCAGCACTCCTGGGATTTCTTGTTCATCCGCTAATAGGGATTTGAGGCTAGCATGCCCTCTTTAATATACTGTCTTTTCCTGGTCATACCTTACATCATTAGCATATTCAACAGGGATAATTTCAAGTGGAAACCATTTTTAGTAAACTAATGCCTCTTTAGTTCCCCTGCAGTGTGGTTATGTTTCATGATTATTAGCAGGGTGCACACTCAAATAAATTGTTAAAGTGGAGGATAGGACCAGGAGCTTACCTGAGGGGTGTAGATGCATTGCAGCAACATCTGGAAAGCACTATTAGCTGATCGCCAAGGCTACTAACTAATGAAAAACTGCTCTTGCAGAGAATACCACCTTAGACCTTTATTTTCTTCCTGAGAAACTCTTTAGGTGTCGTTAGAGTATGGGTAAGTAGTTTAATTAAAAGACTGGTATTTAAGTACAAATCTCTGCAGGCAAAGAGCTGAATTAGGTGGTTTCAATGTTCCTTGTAAATGCAAGTTTATACTTGGGTCCTCAAATGAAGGCATAGGATCTGTTGCTGACCAGCTAATTATTTAATATATTTGCTCTTAGAAAGATTTGGCTGCCCTTGAGGAATGTTTTTGTCATTCGAATTCGGTCAATAATCACTTAGTGAATACAGACCAGAAACAGTCCTTAGTCTGTTTCATACGAAACATGTAGACACTATAAAATGATAAGGAATGAGAGATTAAAGAAGTTTTGATACTGTAGCCATAGTCCGTGGTCTAGAAACTGGTAACACCTTTATGTAATTGATCTTCACACATCCCTTACAACTATGCATGTTGAAACCTGCAAGTACTTATGTGAGTGCTCTGTCAGTTTTGTGATGAGGTAAGCTAGAGTCCACATTTTTATTGTTTAGACTCCAATTTGGTGTCAAAATCAACAAATAGTGCTACTGATAAAAGCTATAATGTAGTGTTTGAGATCCTGTGCTTCTAAACATGAAAATAACCCTGATTTTATAATGTTTTATGGGAAAGATCAAGAGTATAATTTTGTATTTTATCTTCTAAGATCTGTTACATATTTTCATATTCTTTGTTTTTATTTTTAGATTCAACGTTCCACATGATGATAGTTTTAAATGTAAGGAACCTGGGATTAAACACCAATATCATGTAATGGCTCCAACTTTAAATTACCACACAAGTCCTTGGACCTGGTCAAAATGTAGTCAGAAATATATCACTGAATTCCTAGAGTAAGTCTAAAGTTATATTACTTTAGTTAAATAATGAAACATTTATTAGACTATAGACTTTGAACTTTATGTTATTTTAAAGTGATTTAATTTCTGTCCAGTTTTGGCTTAAATTTGTTTACTTTGTACAACTGGGTTTTTAAAAACAAGGAAAGAGTTGTATGTACACATTTCACTCCTAAAATATTTTGGTGGGGGCAGGTCAGACCTAGATTTGGGAGCTCTATTAGGATAACTTGTTTTTAAGGGGAGACTTAGATTCACAGCTTTCTTACGTGTTTGAATTTTTTCAGTAGGTACTGCGTAATACAAGAGGAGCTTAAGTGGTTCAAGTTTTGAGGTGCCTTAGAAGGACAGACAATAGCTGAGGTCCAACTCTGAGTATTCCAAATAGCTCTCTGTGGCCAGAGGGATGTGGAGTAGTTTATATGCTTACATATTCTTCTGGAGGATTTTTCTAGGTCTGAAGAGGGGGCAGATCGATTTTTCTTGCCTCGTCTCCATCTCGCACGTTTCTCTGCTTCCCCATTTTTATCCAAATGGTGTTTCTATCTTACTGAAAGTTGCCAAAAGGCAAGGCCAAGCTCTAAGTAATTTTTTTTTGTTTAAAAGCAATATTCATTTCCTTATATTCTAATCCCCAGTATATGTGGTTGCTAGTTACCTCTTTTGTGAGAACTATGGAAATAAATGAAACTATGCTTTGTAATATGTTCATAAATCCCAAGATGATCAGTTTTTTTTTATCCTTGTATGGGGAGTTGATTTAAAAGCATAATACACAATTGCTGTTGTATACATAATTGCATATAGTTTTGTTCAATGGCTAGCTGAGGTATTGGTTAAAAATACCAGGGGATGTGTTTATTTTTGAATGGTGCTAATGGGATTCTCTCCAATGGAAATGTTAAAACACACACACACACACACACACACACACACACACACACACACACACAAGCTGACTTAAGTTACACGTTCATTTTTGGATGAAACTTAACATCTTTCTAGCCAGTAAAAATTGCTAAATTTCTTAAAATTATGGTAATGGAATGAATTGTTTTTAATCCAGTTGGGATGGCTGAATATTTTCAGTTTCCTATATGCTAAATACTGCATTACAAACCAGAAGTGAACAACAAATGTTTCTCCTATTTGCCACTTTCTAAGTCCTTTACATGTATCCTTGAATAGCCGTTTGCAAGGTGGATAGTGTCACTATTACTGCAGAGGAGGAGTCCTAGCCTCTGGCATGTTAACTTGTCTACAACCAGGCAGGCATCCTGGAAGCAGCAATACCAAAACACAAACTCTGCCTCTTTGAAGTGGACACAACGTAACACTTCCTGAAACTCTTTGTTTTGTTGTTGAGAACTATAAATGTACTTTCTCAAATGATATAAAAACTTTTTTCTACAACATACTGACAATTTGGGGGGGTAGTGCTTGGGGTGGCAAAGCTGGTTAAGCATCCAGCTCTTGGTTTCAGCTCAGGTCATGATCTTAGGTTTTCTGGGTTTGAGCCCGGCGTCTGGTTCTGGGCTGGCAGCATGGAGCCTGCTTGGGATTCTCTCTCCTCTTCTCTCTGTGCCCCTCCCCAGCTCCTGCTGTGTGTTTCTCTTGCTCTCTCAAAGTAAACTAAAAAAATATAAAAATTTTGAGAATTTAGGCATTTAATAGAAGGGATTATTATTGGACAACAAAATAGATCAAAAATATAGTGTGATTACATAAATGGGTTTCATAAATTATATTCTGATGAATTTACAACTTTTTTTTTTAATTACACCTTCAAAGCAGTTATGGGGCTCAAATGAGAAACGGATTTTTTTTTTGCGACTTTCATATGTATTCGTTTTAAATTATGAAAAAACATACTGTTTATGAAACTGTAGAGCAGTGACTGTGATGAAGAATCTTCTATTATGTATCCACCTGTATTCACAATATTTTTGGTCTTTGGTACAGTACTGGCCATGGGGAATGCCTCCTTGACAAACCAAATGGAAGAATATATGATCTGTCTTCACAACTTCCTGGATTAATGTACGATGTGAACAAGCAGTGTGAACTGATGTTTGGCCCTGGATCACAAGTATGTCCCTACTTGGTAAGAAAATTAGGTCCTTCTTTTGTTTTTTAAACTACCATAAAGTTAAAGTTAGAACATATTTCAAAATGTACTTTTATTCTCTTGAACAGAAGGTGAACTAAATGTATCTTAGAAGTTTTAACTTTTAGAGATGTAGATTGTTTGCCCGAAAGGGGTTAAAAACAGGGAAACTCGGGGGCTTCTGGGTGATTCAGTCGGTTAAGTGTCCAACTTCAGCTCAGGTCACGATCTTGCGGTTCGTGAGTTTGAGCCCTGTGTCAGGCTCTGTGCTGACAGCTCGGACATTAACTCTCACAAAATCCTGTGTCAGGTATTCCCATTTAGAAAACAGGTTTTAAAAACATTCAAATATTTATTTTCAAATACTATTTTGGGGGGGGTGGGGGTGTTAAAGACAGAAGTGTCTTGATAACTGGTTGTATTAAAGGACCCAGGAATTTAATAGACTACATTTTAATTTACACAGATTTGAATCCAAAACAATCTAGGGCCTGTTGTTATCATTAAATAATTACTTTAGAACTTTGAGGATTTTTCATAGGTTAGACCCACTACTAGATTGTGAGGATCATTGGACCAGGAATGCAGATTCATTCACTCATGGAAATATGCATCTCCAGTGGTCAGTTTAGGATCTGACACATACTAGGTGCCACAAACTAAGTGTTTGTTGAATTGAATGAGTGAAAGTTATATAGCCATGGGTGCAGAGATGGGCAAAACATATTCCATATAGTAATATCGTTTAAAAAAATAATTTTAAAAAGTTAATATGCTTTTATTTATCTTAATTTTTATTGATTTTATTTTATTTTTTATTTTTTAAAATTTACATCCACATTAGTTAGCATATAGTGCAACAATGATTTCAGGAGTAGATTCCTTAGTGCCCCTTACCCGTTTAGCCCATCCCCCCTCCCACAACACCTCCAGTAACCCTCAGTTCTCCATATTTATGGGTCTCTTCTGTTTTGTCCCACTCCCTGGTTTTTATGTTCTTTTTGCTTCCCTTCCCTTATGTTCATCTGGTTTGTCTCTTAAAGTCCTCATATGAGTGAAGTCATATGATTTTTGTCTTTCTCTGACTAATTTCACTTAGCATAATACCCTCCATTTCCATCCACGTAGTTGCAGATGGCAAGATTTCATTCTTTTTGATTGCCAAGTAATACTCCATTGTATGTATGTATGTATACACACACACACACACCCCACACCTTCTTTATCCATTCATCCACTGATGGATATTTGGGCTCTTTCCATACTTTGGCTATTTTGGCTATTGTTACTAGTGCTGCTATAAACATGGGGGCATGTGTCCCTTCGAAACAGCACACCTGTATCCCATGGATAAATGCCAAGTAGTGCAATTGCTGGGTCGTAGGGTAGTTCTATTTTTAGTTTTTTGAGGAACCTCCATACTGTTTTCCAGAGTGGCTGCACCAGCTTGCATTCCCCCCCCCCCAAAAAAAAAGTTAAGCTTTTAAATATCCATATTGAGGAGGGGAGATTTAACATAATTTTTGGAGATCCATTTCTTTTCTACCTGACCTACCCACTAAATAAACATTGAATTTAAATTCAGAAAAAGGGAATTATCTTGGGTATAGCTCCTGTGAACCTCTGGATTTTTGTTTCTTAGGAAAACTTGAGAGCCCTTTGTTCAACTTGAAAGTATGCATTCTATTCACAAAGTAGGAAACCAGTATACATTATACAGTATTTCTATGCACATTATTCATACATTCTATCGTATCAAAAGAGGCTTTTGGAAACTCTTTGTGAATAACATTTAACAACAAAAAGTCCTTTAGAAAAATGTCTTGCAAAGAGAAAAATGTCCCCCATAATTTTGAATATTTCCACTCTAATTTCTCTCTCCCATTGTTCAGTGTATGATGAAAATCCAAAAGTTCTTAAAAACTGAATGTTGCCATTTTATGTGTTCAGAGGCAAATCAATGATTAGAACTTAGTGAATTTTTTTTTGGCTTGATTATTTCCAGCTCTGACCTTGAAACCATGAAATCTGTAAGATCAATGTATAAACTGATGGTTTACACTGAATTGATCTGGTGGTTGGTTGTAGTGTTATTTTACTCTTGTCTGCTTTTTGTTATCTTGCAGAAGCAATGCAGACGTCTCTGGTGTACGAGTGCAGAAGGAGTTCACAAGGGTTGTCGCACTCAGCACATGCCCCTTGCAGATGGAACAAACTGTGGTCCTGGGATGGTAGGTTTCCTGGAAGGGTGAGTCTTGTATCAAGAGACTATCCAAGGAAGTGACTGCTCTGCGTTTCAGCGCTCTTCATGATTGGTCAACTCTTGCTCTGCTAATGAATCGATGTTGCCATGTGAACAGATAGTTACCTAAGTATATTAGTCTTATTAACAATGAGTATAGACATAAAGATCCTAATAGATCAGCAATTTCCCCAAATTGAGGGATGTTACCATTGTTTGCATTTTCTCCTATAAAATTCAACCAGGTATAATGGAAAGTTTTAAGTGGCTTCTTCGGATATTTATTGGTTGTAAATGTCTTCAAATACCTCATATCCCTAAAGTAAACTGCCTGAACATATAACATCAGGCATGAACTAATTTAAATCTGCAAACATGATGCTGAGAGACAGGGTTTACCCTGATAACCAAACATCAATGTGAGGGTGAAGTCAGGTGGTACTTGGTGCTTCAGGATGAAGGCAAGTTCCATTGGCCTTGGTAGCCAGTGCCGCCTGTGCTGAATAAGCTTGAGTCTGTTGACGCCTCCTCTGAGCTACCTCAGCACAAAATGAACGTTTTCTTGGCAATGGGGTTGGCTAGTGCTGCCGCTTTTGTTAACTTCACATTGGGCACAAGTAGAAACTGAAGGACCGGGTCACTAGCTGATCTTTTGCTTTACCAGCTCTTTGCTTCATGGAAATGTTTGCACCAGCCATTGCCCTTCTCCTTGCCTTCTGTCAAAAGGCATGTGTTTTCTGTGAATGTTGCCTGCATTACAGAGTTTTATTGGGACTTGAGCAATTTTTGCAGTAGCTGAAGTCCTCTGAAATGGTTTAGCACTCAGATTACCTTGGGACCAAAATTCTAGTGGATTTCTTGAGTTTGTCGATTGGAGCTAGAACTGAACTTTAAAATTTTATCTTTATTTAAAATTGTTATTTTGAAGACCAAAAATATGAAAGACTTTATTTTTCTCACTTTTTGTGACCAGTACTGGTAATTGGCTTTTGGGGGAGACAAGAGTGGCATTTGGGAGAGTTACTGATTATCTAAGGATGAGCAGAGAAAAAAAACCTTGTTGTAGGCTGAATTAGAAACAGCTGTTAGCTCATTAGAAGACTTGCTCCAAGGTAGTCCCCAGATTCAAATCTGGTTGGGCCTTAAGTGTCTTAGCAAACTTTAAAGTTTATGCCATGAAACTTCATGCTTCATGGCATGTGGCTAACATAGCGATGGATATATTTACATGCATCACATATACCATTTATAACTGAGTAGTCTAAATCCGGTCAATGCATTAGCATGATAAAAAATTGAGATATAGGAGTAAAATGCACAGATATCAAATGTTCAATTTGGTAAGTCTTAACAAATATAGATGGACACTTAGCCAATATCCCAATCCAGATGAGAACATTTCCATCACTGTAAAGTTGTCTAGCCTCTGTAGAGTTTCCCTCTTTCCAGAGAGAGAACATACTTCCTGATTTTAACGTAAATCGAACTGTATAGCGTATGTACATGCACGCGCATACACACACACACCCTTTCTGTGGGCAGAGGGAAAAGGGGTCAAGCTTTTTTTATTCAAGATGTTGGAGTTTCATCCATGTTGTGTGTATTGATACTTCATTCCTTTATGCTGCAGTGTAAGTCAGCTGTATAAATGCACCATAATTTTTTTATACATTCTTCTGCTGATAGACAATTGGGACACTTCCAGGTTTTGGTCATTATGAATAAAGCTGCTATGAGCATCCTCATACCAGTCTTGTGGGCATGTGCTTGCATCTCTCTGAAGTAAACAAGTATCTAGAAATTGCTGGGTCATAGGGGAGGTGCATGTATGTAACTTCATAGGGAACTGCCAAACCATCTTCCAAATGGGTACTTGAGACTCTCGCAAGTGATGTATGAAAGTTCCAGTTGTGCTGCATGTCTTGCCAGTTGATGATCTTGTTAATCTTGTAACAAAATTTTAGACACTTTAGGTGCAAAATGGAATACTATTATGTTTTTAATTTGTATTATCCTGATTATTCTCCATCTTGAGCATGTTTTCATGTACTACTTAGCCGTTCAAATATGAGGTGTAGTGTAAAGGGCCTGGATTTGTTGGAATTCAAGGTAAATGTGTTGAGACACTGGGACCTACTTTAAAACTTGTATAGATTAAAAGCAGAAATGCATTTGGGGTAACATGTGTATCATGTAGATATAAAATCCCTTTTATCATTTATTAAAGAGAGTGAGCCTCTTTGCATTAGCCACATTCAATAATAAATGGGCCTTTTTTTCCAAGGGAAATTCTAAATAAATGTCCTATCTTTTGCCTCAATATTCTTTTAGTCCCTTTATCTTGTGACTATCTTGCATGTAAGACTATCTTTTAAATACTTGTGGTAGTAAAACTATTAGCATAAACATATAGTGGAACTCACCTGACAATGACTTGACTTTTTTTTTTTTTTTTTACATGGTGAACAATACAACATTCTTTTTCTTGGATTTTTCAGAAATAGTGCTCAAGGATTATTTGAAACGTTTCTGGAAGATGTTCCCCAAATTTACATGAACATAGTACATTCTATTCAGAGATTTTTTTTCGCTTTTAATGGCTTTATCATTTTGAATCATCTTAATGGAGGGCACAAAGCTTTTTTCCTGCTAATTAATAAGCTTGGTTATAGGATTCATTCATTCAACAAAGATTTATCAAGGACCCACTATGTGTCAGGCACTATTCTAGGTGCTCAGGATACATCAGCAAACAGAAAAGATCGCTGCCTTCATGAAGCTTACATTCGTAGTGGGAGAGGGCTGACTGCAATTTAAAATGTAGTGGTCAGGGGCGCCTGGGTGGCGCAGTCGGTTAAGCGTCCGACTTCAGCCAGGTCACGATCTCACGGTCCGTGGGTTCGAGCCCCGCGTCAGGCTCTGGGCTGATGGCTCGGAGCCTGGAGCCTGCTTCGGATTCTGTGTCTCCCTCTCTCTCTGCCCCTCCCCCGTTCATGCTCTGTCTCTCTCTGTCTCAAAAATAAATAAATGTAAAAAAAAAAATTTTAAATGTAATGGTCAAAGCAAATTTTATGGGAAGTTGCCTAATGAGCTATCTTAAAATGAGGGAGTTAGCTATGGAGAATATTGTGGGGAACTGAGCTCCAGGCAAAGAACAGCTAAACTCCTAAATCCGCAGTATTGGAGTGGTTCAAGGAAGAGTAAGGAAGGACATTGTGGCTGGGGTGAAGGGTGGTATATAGGAAGTAACTGGAGGAGAATTTTGTAGGTCCCTGTCAGCCATTGTGAGAACTTTGCATTTATTCAGAATCAAAAAGACGGATTTGAGCAGAGGAGTCACCTGATTTGAGCTAATTTTTAAAGTAAGTTGAAAAGGATCATTATGATTGCTGTTGAGACTAAACTCTAGAGAGCAAGAGTTGGAAACAGAGGAGATCTACTTGGAGAGGTATGGCAGTGATAGAGATGAGAAATGACAGTGGCTCACACCAGAGCTGGGAGCACCAGGTTGATACTTAAAAGTCAATTTGCTTTTGAAGGAACTAGGACATTTGCTAACACATGAAATGTGAACTGTAAAGAAGAGGTTGACTGTTTTTGGCTGATCAACTTAGATCGTATCAGCAGATTTTAAGGGGTTGGCAGTTGAATTTTGGTGTGATGTGTGAAATGTAAGACGTTAAAGTGAAGATGTGTAAACAGCTTATATACACAAGCCTGGAGTTGAGGAGAAGGATCTGAGCTGGGAGTGATCGTTGTTGATAGGGAAGCATAAAGGTAATGTGAGCCCAAAAAGTTCAGCATTAAGTGGAGACCTAGAAACCAAGAAGGGGGGAAAAATGATACTGCTAAATCAAGGAAGACAGAGACTGAGAACTGGCCATTGGGTGATGTCCACATGAGCTGCTTCATGGAGGGTGGGGCTGTGAGAGCAGAGGCAGTGAGAGACCATGGTCATGGATGGCTTTTTCAAGGAGAAACAAGACAGTAGCTGGTGGGGAAAGTGAGATCTAAGGAAAATTCTGTTAAAGAGGGTAATTATGTATGTTTGTATATTAATGAGAATGAACTAATGGAGTACTTCTCCAATTAGCTCTAGTAAAGGACCAGTCTTTTCTAAAATTTCTGATAATTTAAATCGATACTTGTACAAAATGATGGAAATGATTAGAAAAAAAAACATTCAAAATGACAAAAACCTTCAAAATGTAAGCCAATTCTATGGAAAAGAGTGTGGCAGATCTTCAAATTAAAAATACAGAGATGCCTGGGTGGCTCAGTCAGTTAAGTGACCGACTTTAGCTCAGGTCATGATCTCACGGTTTGTGGGTTTGAGCCCCTCATTGGGCTCTGTGCTGATGGCTCAGAACCTGGAACCTGCTAGAGATTCTGTGTCTCCCTTGCTCTCTGCCCCTCCCTTGCTTGCACACACACTCTCTCTCTCTCTCTCTCTCTCTCTCTCTCTCTCTCTCTCTCAAAAATAGACATTAAAAGAAATAGACATTAAAAAATTAAAAAAAAAGAAAAATAGAATCATCTGATCCAGCAATACCACTCTGGGCATATATGCCAAAGAACTACAAACAGCCTTGAGATCTCTGTACAGGCCTGTGGCCATCAGCATTTATTCTGTATAGCCAAGACGTGGAAGTGTAACCCAAGTGGCCATCAGTGGATGAATGAAAAAACAATGTTATATACACATACAATGGAATATTATTCAGCCTTAAAAGGAAGTTATGACACATGCTACAATGTGGGTGAACTTTGAGGACCTTATGCTAAGTGAAATAAGCTGGTCACAGAAAGACAAGTGATGCATGATTTTAATTATATGAGATATATAGAGTAGCCGAATTTATGGAAACAGAAAGTAGAATGGTGGTTGCCAGGGACTGGGCGGGGGAGGGGAGAGCGAATGGGGAGTTAGTGTTTCAAGAGTTACAGAGTTTCAGTTTGGGAAGATGAAGAGCTCTGTGGATGGATGGCAGTGATGGTTGCACAACAATATGAATGCATTTTAATGCTACTGAATTACACACTTAAAATGGTTAAGATGGTGATTTTGTGTTGGGTATTGTACCACAACGAAAACAAATATAAGCCATTTTGACGTTTACTTTTGAGAAAATGCTAGCATGAGCAGGGAGGGGGCAGAGAGGGAGATGGGGAATCCCAAGCAGGCTTCATGCTGTCAGCACAGAGCCCCATGTGGGTCTTGATCTTACCAACCGTGAGAGAGATCATGACCCAAGCTGAAATCAGGAGTCCTTTGCTTAACCGACTGAGCCACTAAGGTGCCCCAATATAAGCCCACTTTTAACATTGATAAACATGAAATTACTGCCCAAATCCTATAAACGTTTCTAAATTCAGTATTTATTTTCAATTTCTCTACTCCTTGCAGTGACTAGTTCACAGACTGGCATCAGTGCATGGACCACTTTTTGGTTAGCTTTTTTTTGTTTTTGTTTTTGAGAGAGAGCACAAGTGGGAGAGGGGCAGAGAAAGGGGGACAGAAACTTGCTCTGGGCGGACAGCCACAATCCTGCGGCGGGGCTCGAACTCACGCACCATGAAATTATGATCTGAGTTTAAGTGGGTCGCTGAACTGACAGAGCCACCCAGGCACCCTTGGTTAGTTTTTATATATTAGAGACTGGAACAATGATGCTGTAGGAGAGAGGGGAGAATTGTTGGAGTGATGTTTGGAGCCATGAGAGTAATTGAGATCAAGTGCACAGAGGGATTGACTTTGACTAGGATCATGGATTTTTCATGTACCCTAACCGGTGGGAAGGTTGAGGACTGAGCACAGGTGCCCTTAGGTGGATAAAAGGAATAGTAGATAGTGAGCAGCTTCTCGTGTACATTTCCATTTTCTTGTTGAAAGTAAGAAAGTGATCACTGAGGCTTTGGATGAGATGAAGTAAACCGCTAAAAAAAGTGGGAGAGTGATACGAATCTTTGCATAAAAAACCAGAAGCATAGATCTATATTGTATTAATAGTCACTTCTTTAAAGTTTTCATCTTACTGTGTTTTCCCCATACAAGTATTCCCTCCCCCAGTGAAACTCAACATTTTAAAGGCAAGGGAAATTTCCTTCTTTTTGCATTCTACAGATCTTACTCAGCAGATATTCAGAAAATATTTGAGTGTCAAATGTAATCCCATTTCTGAATCAATATCTTTAAGTTGTGTGCATTTTCTCCACTGATATTTATGGTATTTAAATTACTGTGATACTGCAATTGGGTATGTACGAATCATTTCTTTGTGTATTTTTTTGTTTGTTTAAGCATTGCCACCACGGGCTATGTGTAAACAAAGAAATGGAAACACGTCCTGTAGATGGTGAATGGGGACCATGGGGACCTTACAGCTCTTGTTCAAGAACATGTGGAGGTGGAATCAAAAGCACAAGCAGGCTCTGTAATCGCCCCGAGTATGTCTTTTTTATGTCACTGTAAATTAAGATTATCTCAAGGCACCAGAAAGTAAACATCAGTTTCATTCACTTCTATACTGGAGGAGGTCAGTCTGTAAGTTTCTGAGATTTAGAAAACTTCTGGAATACTTTGAGCCCTATTACCTTATATCTTGGTAGACTCAAACCTTTAAAAAATATATATATATTATTTATTTTAATAATAATATACATATAATTATTTAATAACTTTAAAATTAATGATATATATAACTAATATATATAATTATATGTATTATATATATAATATATAAATATTTATATATTATATAAATATATATATTAACCAGCTTAGTCTTTTAGAATATGAATTTAAGAGCTTTTTTTCTGATTTAGATTACATTTGAGGAATAGTGGTAAAAATGAAATGACAGTAATATAAGGGCATTTTAATACTGTGTTTCCATTGAAATCCTGGCTCCTTTAAACTGTGTGTTGACTCTTCTGGATAAAATCTGTACCTTCATGACCAGTTGTTACTCTTTTGTGTAATTTGACATGTCATATTTTCTTTCTCTGCTTCTCATAGATGCATCAGTGTCTTTAGCTCAAATAAGTACTGAAGCATATGTTCCCCCTCCTCAAAATCTTTAAAAGAACATAGAGATTCCATAAAGATTTTTAAGTACTGTGTCTGTTGTTATGATAAATTGGTAAGCAATAAAGAATTTTTGATGCAGAGATGACAATACTCTGAAATGACTTCGATCATTGGAATTCCAGAATAGCTAAATTATGCTGGAAGTTTTCATATTTACAAAATGCTGACAAAACAAATTTTTATTTTCCAGTGTAAGTTGAAATAGAGATGGATGGATATAGATAGCATGAAACTCGTGGAAGTGAGCGATAAATAGTATACACAAAACAATGATGCCTGGATATTTCTTTAACACGGTATAATCTGGATTATCTTTGGTTCGCTATGTTTGTTTTTCACCCCTCAAATGAACAAACCCTATTCTGCAATTTTAAACCAAATTCCCATCAATTAGTTCCTTGTGAGTTAAGTCATGAATAAGCTATCATTGCTGCCCTCCAGACCACAGTGTCCATCTTAAGATGAATGTCTTTACAGTTCATTAGCCATACAATTGCTTGAAAACCATGTAATATACTTCTGTTAAACAGGAAGTGTTAGTGGGACATAATTAGTTTTCCAGATCCTGGAACAGAATGGAACAGTTTGAGAAGTAAATGGCAGAAAGAATATTGTACTGATGTGCTTTAAAATGTAATGAATTTGACTAGGCCAAGAAACGGAGGAAAGTACTGTGTGGGCCGCAGGATGAAATTTCGATCATGTAATACTGATTCATGTCCAAAAGGCAAGCAAGACTTTCGAGAGAAGCAGTGCTCTGATTTTGATGGTAAACATTTCAACATCAATGGTCTTTCCCCTAATGTGAGGTGGCTTCCAAAATACAGTGGGAGTAAGTAGTTAGAATATTTTTTTGATGTAAAAATTTCTTGAGACCTAGGAACACACAGCTGTATTATTGTACACCAAAAATTTGACTTTTTCTTACAGTTGCCATAAAAGATCGCTGTAAACTCTATTGTCGGGTTGCTGGAACCACAAACTTCTACCAGTTGAGGGATAGGGTTGCCGATGGTACTCCTTGTGGAACTGAAACTAATGACATCTGTGTTCAAGGCCTGTGTCGGGTAGGTAACTTATATTGAAAATGACTTTGAGAATATTTTTCTTTTTCTGTAACCAGATATTACTTCTGTAGCATCAGAGTACAATTCTGGAATTCTCATGAATTCCAGTGCAGTGCCCTTTAGTGATATCACCCTATCTTTAGGAATATGGTCAAGAGACTATGACTAAGGAATTCTCTGTCATCCAGAGTGACTCACAAAACATTAACATAAGCTTGCTAAGGGGTGCCAGGGTGGCTTAGTAGGTTAAGTGTCTGACCAGCTCAGGTCATGATCTTGTGGTTGGTAAGTTCAAGCCCTGCGTCAGGCTCTGTGCTGACAGCTCAGAGCCTGGAGCCTGCTTTGGATTCTGTCTCTCCTCCTTCTGCCTTTCCTCGGGTTGTACTCTCTCTCTCTGTGTCTCTCAAAAATGAATGAATGTTAAAAAAAATTTTTTTTGAAAAGGTTGCTGATTTTGTTTTGCTTGAGGTATGCGAAATCAAGATGAGGCATGAGATCGGCTTCTTCAAAAGATAGAAAATATTAGGACACAGGGTTCTAAAGTCCTTTTTGCTACTTGAAATGAGACCCTTTCTGGTGACCCCTCCCCCGTTGGTTAGTTGATGGTACTCCCCCCTCCCTCTTTTCATCCTTGTCCTTCACTTCCCACGTGCATCCAACAGGCATTCACTGAGTATCTACTAAATACTGGATACTGTTCTAGTTACTACTCAAAGATAGTCCCAGGTTAGTAGGGGAGAGACATGTAAATAATTCAAATGCAGGACTTTGGGATCATGTACAGGGTGCCGTAGGGATCTTGAGGAAGGGATGTTGTGTGAGAAAAGGGTGTAAGTGATTCAGAGAACCCTTGTGGAGGGTGTGAGGCTTAAGCTAATTGAGAATGAGTAGGTTGTAGTAAAGGTGAGGAAGTAAGGGTTGGACATAGGGATTGGCTATTACATGCACTTCTTGTCTGAAGTCCTGAAGGTCCCTGGAAAGAATTTGGAGTTGAGTGAGAGATGCGATTTGATCTATCTGCATGTTAGAATCTTCATAATCCAGTGGTTTAGGAGAAGATTGGAGATAGGTCAGCTGGTTAGGATTCTGGGTGAGAAGCAGATGAGACCCTGAATTAAAGCACATACATTACAGATGGTGATCTTAAAAAACAGTGGGTTTGAGAATTAGGATAATGAATTTGGTCTAAAGACTACAAATGTAATATGAACTCATTCCTTGGGTTAAGGCAGAACTTGAGAGGACTAATTTTCTGTTAGCCAAACATCTATTACCTACCAGTTACCTGGATGATAAAATGCTTTGCACCCAAAGGTCTGATGAGATGTTCAAAGAAAAGGAAAAAATAACCTGGAGGCTAGAAAAGGGGTACTCTGTGGCCTGAGAAATAGGTTTTATCTAAATTAGCAGGAAGTCCTATACAATGGAAAAACAATGATTATCTGAACTTATAGATGCAGATTACTTTCAGAAAATATCTGGTCAAAATTTGGGAAATACTCTGTGTATAAATTTGAGTAACCTCATGAAATTTTTTTTGATCATTAAATTTTAGGAGTATTCTAAAGAACAAAGAGTTGTTGCAGTGTCTGCAGATGACAGTATCTGCATAGAGAACTGTGCTTGTTCTTAACCCCTGGATCAAACCATTCACTCTCACCTTTATCAAATCACTCATTCTTTACATAAACACATTCTTTACATAAACTTATTTTTCTGGTTATTAATTTTGGAGAAGTAAATTTTCAAATGTACTCTATTCCCAGAGTTCTAAGATTTTGAGTTAAAAAAAAAAATCACAAAAAACATCCCGTTGAAGTTATTTTAAATGTGCTCCTTAAATCAGATTTTTTTTGTTTCTTTGAATTAATTTCTTTAAAAAGTGGCTTAAATGGATGGTGGACATAAGAATTATTGTCCATGTTTGTTACAACACAGATTCCTAGTTTTTACCTCCAAGGATTTTTAATTCAGAAAATCTGGGATCTGCCTTTTTAAATGCCATCCCGTGTGATTTTGATGCAGGAGGTATGTGGATGACCCTTTGAACCTTTTTTTTTCAACCATGTGAAAAGGTGTGTGAAAATATTGATGTATAACAAAATCAATAGATCCTCTGAAAAATCCTATTGTATCGAATCACCTATTAATTGAAAGAGTACTTGTGAAAAGTTTGTAAGGCATCATGCTTATAATGAGTCATTTTTATAATCTTGGTTGTAATGGTTATTTTGAAGCAAGCTGGCTGTGATCATGTGTTAAACTCCAAGGCCAGGAGAGACAAATGTGGAGTGTGTGGTGGGGATAATTCTTCATGCCGGACAATGGCAGGTGTCTTCAACAGTGCTCATTATGGTAAGCTATGTATTTTTCTAATTTTCTCTCATATGTGGTGTAAAAATGGAATATAATCAATTTCACTTCTCTTTAAAATTAGTAGGAGAATATATCATATTTTCTATTCTGAGACTTTGCTAGGACAATCTTTTCCTTTTTATGGTAGCAAATGTAGTTCTGTAGAATTTTCTTTGCAAAATGAAAAATGTATTTTTTACAGTTTATCAGCCTTAAATTGTGTTCAAACAGTTAAGTTAGTATGAATTGCTTCAATTAAAGCAGTATAATTTAAAACCAACACTTTGTTTTTAATCTGTATGAAAAGTATAGTACATTTTACACTCGGGTGATGCTTATGAATCTCAATCACTAGATTTGACATTATTTTTGTGGTTAAGATCCATTATTTTATAGGAGCCACACACATTTGATCCAGTTAAAAATGGCACATTTATCAGTTTGGTCTGTATCCACTGAAAAACAATTTTTTTTTTTGTAGAAAACCACATGTACCACATTAGGATCAAATATATAGCCTTGCCAAAATTGTATTATGAATTAGTTTGCAAATGGAAAAAGATGTTAAATTCATTTGTACAGTTGTAGCCTTTGTCACATTTCTGCCCCCTGGTGGTAGCCTTTGTCTTTCACATTTGCAATACCTAGAAATTGCTTTTTTGAAAAACGATAACTGCAAAGACCTGAGTAGTGGTGGTAGTAGGAATATTTTATAGTGAAAAAATTAATTAAAAATGTTTCTGGTAGGCTGTTGGCTTAAAACCAATATGCATGTAGTGTATGTAGTTTCAGACCATTTATCACTTTATTTTTAAAATCTGATCCCCTAAAGGGAAATAGATAAAGGTACTCTAAAAACATGCAAGGTAATCTATCAGGGCTACAAACTTAATCTTTGATTTTTATCTTTTATTCATTTTGAGAGAGAGCATGTGCAAGCACATGTGGGGCAGGGGCAGAGAGAGGGGAGAGAGAATCCCATGTAGGCTTTGCACTGCCAGTGGGAGCCTGATGCTGGGCTCGAACTCCTGAACTGTGAAATCATGACCTGAGCCAAAACCAAGAGTCAAACACTAAATGAACTGAGCCACTCAGATAGATGCCCCAAATTTAATCTCTTAAGACTTCCTAATTTTGTTCTATATTTAACAAAGTTAGTATATGAGAAAAATCACAAGTTTTTTTCCATGTATTAAATAGAAAGAAAAACTAATAAGGAAAAGGAACCACTTATAATAATCACTAGAGCAAAATTAATGGCTCACTCTAAACCCGAGAGTATTTGGAAAACTATGTAGTAGCAATGTTTATGGTGTAGGGAAAACGCTTCTAATATACACTATTTTCTCATCTTTTGAGCAGTGCCAGTATTGTTAAATTTGGTCTCATAAAGTAGAAATATTTTAATTTCCTTAAAATAAACGTTTTACTTCTGCCATGATAATGTATTAGTGGACTTTTAAGAATAATGTAACATTTTGGAGGTAGCTACAGAAATTCCTGCTTACAGTAAAAACTAAATGGTTAAAAAATGTTATTAACTTTATTTTGCGTGCACTGAATCTCTGTGTAAATATAGAGCAATGAGCAACTATTTTCATCTCTTCCAGATTTTTGAATAGCATTTGAAACCCCGATTTTTTTTCCCATTAGAAAATAGAAAATCCAAAAGTATTCGTCAAATTTAAAAATGAATATGTTCTAAATATCTCAGGAACTAGAATCCTAATTTCCATTCTCATTCTACATTCAGAATTTTAGAAGAAAAATTAGGAAGTGTACTTTAAGATTCCAAATTCAGGATATTTCTACACAACAGTGTTTTCTCAATCCTTAGTAACTTGTGGTTTCTACAAAAAAAAAAAGGTTCAAAAAGAATAAACACTGTATCATTTTTTGAAGATGAAATTAAGTCTGACTATACTATTCAGATTTTTCAGTCACTCAGTAATAGCCTCTGGGCCATCAGCTTGTGAAAATTAACACGCATAAAATTATATTGCAGGTTATAATGTTGTTGTCAAGATTCCCGCAGGAGCAACAAACATTGATATTCTTCAGCACAGCTATTCTGGAAAACCAGAAGATGACAATTACCTTGGTAAACATTTCTAGTAAATAGCAGCCAATATGTGATTTGTGTGCAATTTCATGGAGGTCTGCGGTTGATGTGAATTCTTGGAAGGCAAGAAGAGCCCCTTGAGCAAACAGGCATTTCAGTTCATACTCGGCTCGAGTCATCTGACTCCCTGAATGTTTTCCTCTTGAGTTATATGCTAGATCTTCTTTTTTAGAGTGCACACACAAATGGGGGAGAGAGGCAAAGGGAAAGAGACCATCATAAGCGGGTGCCATGCTCAGCACAAAACCCAAAGTGGCGCTCCATCCTACAACATGAGGATCGTGACCTGCGCTGAAATCAAGAGTCAAACACTAACTTGACTGAGCCACCATAAGGCTCCTTAGATCTTAATGTTACAGACACTGAACAAAATTCTGAAAAATTTGCTTTATCCCCATAAGAGCGTTTTATATAACCAAAGGTTATATTCAGTTAAAGTTGCATTATATTTAGAATATAAAGATACCAAATTCAGGATATTTCTCCACAACAGTGTTTTCTGTTAGATTTAGAATATAAAATCTTTTTATCTAAAATTATAGACTTCTTTGGGGTTAAATGTTCTTTAAAGAGTTTCATTGAATGTTTTAACCATGTATCAAAAGTACTTAGAGACTTGAAAAAAAAACTTCTGTTAAAGCAAGACTGAGAATTGATTTCAGACTTTTAAATGTTAATAAATATATTCACAGTATGTTGTCCTTCAACTACTTCCAGGGTATAAACTTTGTTGTTTATTTTTGGAAATTAGCTTTTGGCTTTAAAGAATTTCGCTTAGGACCAAAGAAAAGAATGCTTTACAAATCCTTTACCTTCTGTCTGGGAGATACCTTAATATTGACTTACCCCAACTCACCACGCTGGAATTAGGGGATGGTATAGAGCTGATACCGAAAGTATCTGTTTCACAATAATGTGAAATACTGGCCCAAGTTATCACTGCTTATAAGTAGGAATCTGAATCTATAACGAAGAGCTTATCTCAGGACTTAAATTGACATTATAAAGTAAATGCAAAGGGAACAAGTGCTTCATGGATGCAGATTTTCCTTTTGAGTTAATGAAAAAATTTTACAATTAGAGGTGGTAGTTGTATAACATTGTGAATATAATGCCATTGAATTGCTCAATTTAAAATGGTTAATTTTAGAGACGCTTGGGTGGCTCAGTTGGTTAAGTGTCCGACTTGGGCTGGGGTCATGATCTCACGGTTCATGGGTTCAAGCCCCGCATCGGGCTCTGTGCTGAGCTCTTGCTCAGAGCCTGGAGCCTGCTTCAGATTCTGTGTCGCCTTCTCTCTCTGCCCCTCCTCCACTTGCACTCTGTCTCACCCTGTCTTTGAAAAAAAATAAATTAAAAAAATATATATAAAATGGTTAATTTTATGTTCAATCAATTGCCCCTTTGTAAAAAATGCAAACAAAATTTCTCAAAGAAAATCAAACCTAAATATTTTGATATTTTCCTTTTTCATTTTGTTGCATTTCTTTTCCTTTGCCAAAAATAGTACCTAGGTGCATGTACATAGATATATATGCAACCATATTGTAGATATTTAATATGCTGCTCTTAGGTTCCAAATGTAGATATTTGTATCTTCCTAGGAATGGACAACAGGTTCTGCCTAAGTTTAAAAACTAGAAATGTTTACCAATAAGGTATCAATATACTTTATAAGAGAGGTACTAATGGGACTGTCAAAGTCTAACTTGAGCAAATAGGTGAAATTATTAGAAGGGATTTGGAAGCATATTTATAAAATCAGCTTTGGTAACCAAAAGTAGTAAAATGTATATGTTTTTTTTTCGCAGTAAATTTTATTTCCCTTAATTATAATATGACTGAAAGTTCTGTAAAGGGACCTATCCACTTTGGATAAAGTACAAACTCATTAGAGGAATTTTCATTTTAGAGGATATGTCTAGAGCTTTACTGGTTTTTCATTGGACTCAGGAAAATATGAAGACAGTCATTGTAGTCATACTATGGACTATAGTCCAAATTTATTTGGCAATAATCCCTTCAAGATTGCTTTGTCCAGGGGTGTTGTATTCATTAAGAAGTCTAGCCCTCGGTAACTTGTGTGCTTTGGGTGAGGTTCTCTGGAGGGCCACACAGATGTTTTCTGGAAAGCTTATTGTTCTACTGAAAAGTATATAAGTAAAGGAAGCAAAATAGTGCTTGATTAGTACAGAGTTTTTATTAGCATAACACTTGAAATATTAGACATCCTCTTGAAAATTAAAAAACACAGTGCTTTACAACTTACATGTTTCTACAAACATTTTCTATATTTGATCCTGATTCAAAAGACTGTGAAGTAGGAATTAATATTCCTGGTGCAGTTAGGAAACTAAGCAACTGGTTTGTCCAAGATCACATAGAACCATATGAATATAAACCCTCTCAGGCCAAATTTGGTTCATCTTCCTACCCTACTACTGTGGACACCAGGCCAGTTTAGATTTTAAAAGTAACTAATTGTGAGTATATACTATACTACTTTATGTATATACAAATATATAGTGGATAAATATACACATACATGTATTTGATATGCTTATATTAACACCTCAATGGGAATGAGAACACGGGGCATGAACAGAAGGGGAGATAGGAGTATTCTGGAAAGCAGTCATGTACGTGTGTCAGTAGCCATAGTGCCTCTCCATGAAAAAGATCCAGACATTTATACAGAGAATAGTATGGCCATTGGATGGCCTTTTAGAATATAGACTCCTAGAATTTTATAGCTTTGTATATTTTTTCCAAGACAAGTATAAATGGAACACTACAGCAGTCTAGATGTTCTTTCTTGCCTCACCATCCATGATCAAAACTGATTGAGCTGATGTGTCTTCTGGGTCTATGATTTCTGTTTTCCCTCTTCCTGTATGTCCCCTCTAAAACTGCAGGCCTCATGAAAGATGATCTCAGGGTGAATTTAATATCCTAAACTGATAGGCTATAGTTTTTCCCTAAGTATGGATTAGATAACATATTACAGTAAAATAAAATTTGTTTTACAAATTAATTTACATTAATTTCAGAAAAGAACTTGAATTTTAAAGTTTAAATATTGTGCTGTTGACTGTACTGTTTTTCTATTTCATGGGTGCTATTCTTTTACAGCATTATCTGACACTCAGGGGAATTTTCTTTTAAACGGGAATTTTGTTGTAAGTATGTCAAAAAAAGAAATCAACATACAAGGAGCTATTTTTGAATACAGTGGTTCAAACAGCTCAATTGAAAGAATTAATAGTACTGATCGGCTGGAGGAAGAAATTGTTCTGCAGGTAAATTCTCAGGGGTCCTTAATAAGACTTAGTTTTAATCCCGTTAGTAAGTTGATGGTTAAGGGCTTTGCGTTTATTAAATATAATAATGATGTCTTTCAAGAATATATTTTTATGAATTAATTATATGCTCCTGTGTGTTTTTGAGGTTTTGTGTGTGGGTAATTTATACAACCCTGATGTACGATATTCCTTCAATATCCCTGTGGAAGAGAAGAGCGACCTGTTCGCTTGGGATCCCCATGGACCATGGCAAGACTGTACCAAGATGTGTCAAGGTACCCTGGAATTAAGTAAAGGAGGCAGAAATGTGTGTATGCTGATATAACTTGGGATACTTTGGGGGCTGTCTGCCTCTGGAATTCCCCAACTGTCTACACACACACACACACACACACACACACACACACACACACACACCCCACCATCAAAAAGACACACAAAGGTTTCTTTTATCTCTGACTTTTCTCCCCACTCATTCTTATACTTAACAGCCTTTTCTATCTCTACCTTTTCAGGCATTTTCTCTTACTGCATTTTTTCATTCTTTCTCTGTCACAAGAAATGTCTCTAACTTGTACATTCATCCCCCCCTTATGATGGAGGATACATTCCAGAAGACCTCCACTAGATGCTTGAAACTGAGGATGGTATCTAACCTCTTAGGTGCTATGTTTTTTTTCCTATACATGCATACCTATGATAAAGGTTAATCTATAAATTAGGCACAGTAAGAGATTAACACTAACTGGTAATAAAATTGAACAATTACAACAATATACATTCGACCCTTAACACACGAATTAGGAGTACCAACACCCACGCGGTTAAAAATTGATATATAACTCTTGACTACTAATTTTAACTAATAGGTTACTCTTCATTGGAAGCCTTACTGATAACAAGCAGTTGATTAACATGTATTTTGTATGTTACATGTATTATATGCTGTAGTTTCACAGTAAAGTAAGCTGAAGGAAAGAATGTTAAAATCATAAGAGAAAATACATTTATGGTACAGTAGTGTATTTATCAAAAAAAAAAAAAAAAGTGAATGGAGCCATACAGTTCAAGCCTATATTGATCAAGGGTTACCTGTACTTAAAAGTTCTGTGAATGTTGTTGCAAACTTTATTGTACTGTACTCCCCCTCCTTGTGGTGATGTGAGGTGATAAAATGCTTTTGTGATGAGATGGAAGTGAGGTGAATGCTGTAGGCTTTGTGACAGCATTAGGCTATACTGACCCTTGCCAAGGTACATTAGAAGGTGGATCACTTCTGGACCACAGTTGACTGCAGGTGACTGAAAGTACAGAGAGCAAAACCAAAGATGAGGGGTAGTATTGTATATGGTTTCCCTCTCCTCCATTCCCCTCCATACACTCTCCTAATAACCTGTCTCCTTCCAGTGTTAGGGGTCTGACATTCTTCCGTTCCTCTGTCTTCCTTCCATGAACACAGGGAAATATATTTTGTACTGATGGCATGAATCCCTGAAAGAGGAATAGTTTGAAATGGAAAAGCCAGGGGCACTTACAGTAGGGAAAGAAAATGAAGAGTGGGGTCTTTGGGAAATCTGTAATCGTGTATACTTAATGGTGTAATACTTTAAAAATCAGTTAAATTTGAGGGACTACTTTGTTTCAAAGTAAGACCCCAGTCCTGCATTCAAGTTTTACCTTCTGGTGGATGAAACCAGCACGAGTAGATTTTCTTGGCTTACAGTAGTGAATGTAATGTGACAGGTATGCACAGAGAGCCACAGGAAAGGTGGAACAGGCTGTGAGGAGATTCAGCCTGAAGGTGCAGGGAAATTTAATGCACTGGAAAGTAGTTCTCACAGGGCCTAGAGAAAAGGTTTGAGAATTTAGGGGAGCAGTGATTCAGAGGAGGGGGGTTCTTAGAACCATATGGAAATGAGCTGAAATAAGGTGGGTTGCCAGAGGCAGTAGCCATAGAGGTGATGGGAATGTGAGGGACACACTAACAAACTGACCTCAAGGTACCGAGGAAATGGTGGTGTCCTCTTCGGAAAAAAATCACAGACTTGGTCCTGTGATGCTGGGATAGTGGTACTCAGAATGCTTGCATGGGAACAGATGTTTTTGTCAGGACAGCGTCTCTGGAGGGAGGCTGCTGTAGATGGTGCAAGACTGACTAGGATAAACACTGGAAGGAGGAACAATAGTGACACAGGAGGAGACATTGATTTTGACAGAGGGACCCTAGATTTGCCTTACAGAAGGGAATGGAGATTTGGGAAGCAGGGAACGGCATTGCAGCACCCACTAGATATGGGGAGCTAGGAACAAGCACAAACATCAGGTAAGTGAAGGAACCTTCTAAAATAAGCGGGGCGGAGGGGGAGGGACATACCAAGTAAAGAACAGCAAGCTCCAAATGGAAGGTTCAACAAGACCTGATGGAGTCTGAACTGCACAGAGGTCTCTTAAATAATGTTGTGCTAGAGGGGAAAAGCTATTAGTTGATTTGCCACATAGTGTACTATGATGATATTCCCTCTTTATGTGTAACTTTTTAGTTTGTCTAAAATGAAATTCCTTCAGTCTTTTCTGTGTATGGAATGTCCTCCGTTCCCAGACTTTGTGAGAGCTATAAATTTCATCTTCATATTTTCAAGTACATTACTTAATCTGTCCGTTTCAATTTTCCTGTACTTTTTCATCTGTTATTGTGGCCCTCTTTTCTCTTGCTCTAATTCGGTTGTGTTGCTTTTAGTCCTGATACATGGCTACCCTCTTGAACTTCTGCTTCATTGTTTTTCTGGGATTCTCTTTTACTTTGTGTTGGAGTTCTGGTTTTCTAAATCCCATGAATTCTTTTACTTCCCCACTGGTGGAACATATTCCTCAGGATATTCTTGAGAAACAAAGGTAGTTGTTTTTTGTTGTGGTGGTGGTGTGGTGTTATGGTGTTTTTTTTGTTTTTGTTTTGTTTTGTTTTTGTTTTGAGACCTTTTTTATCTGAAAGTAGCATTATTCTACTTTCACATTTGATCAGTTTGGGATAAATTGTAAGTTAGATGATTGTCCTTTAGAATTTTGACAGTCATCTTTTCTGATTGCCTGTGTTTCTATGTGACACTTTCCACTGTGGTAGTTTTGTGGCTCCTCTCTAATTCTAATGGTATGAAATTTCGGGACAATTGGCCTTGATGTTGGTGTTTTTTTTCTCATCTATTTTCTTAGGTCATTAGGATGGCATTCACATTTGGAAATGGATTCTTTCACTTGAGAAATTTTACTGCATAATTTCTTTGATAATTTCCTCACATTAAATTTTCTCCTCCACTTTTCTGAAATGTGTATATTTTGGACATTCAACCTCCTCGACTGATCTGAATTTACGTGGTTAATGTTTTTGCTCATAACCTCTTGATTTTGTTTCATAAATGTGTAATATCTGTGTCTCTGACCATATTAATCATAGTCTTTAAATTTTCTCTCTGACCTGTTTCATTTTAGTCTTTGTTTTTATTTTGGTCTCTTTTGTGTTAGTGGATTTCCTGAAATGTCTGCTGATACTTTGCTGTTGATATTTAAGGCTAAAATGCTACAAGTTCTGTGTTGGTCAGACCTCAAGTCTGTAAGACCTCATTATAGAGTAATGGATCACAAAATGACCCTTTCATGTGTCATTGGGGAGAAGCCCCACATGTCATTGTCAGTTGATTTTTGGGGGGCTAAAGAGCCTCTCAAGAGAGGAATCTTTTCGTCTTCAAATGATCAGCAGGGAGACTGTGGAACCATAAATTTGGCTCAATGCTGGAGGGAAATGGAAAGAAAGATTCCAGTAGGCCTGGTTCTCCTCATTCACTATGGAGACTTTTACTTAATTCCCCCTTTGTGGGCACAGTGCTTCACCAACTTCCCTAAGCTATGTCTGTGTCCTTAAGTTCACCTCTCTAGAGCTTTGCTACCCAATAGGGTAGCCACCAGCCAAATGTAGCTCACCCATTGAAATGTGGTATAAGTGTAAAATGCCAATGGATTTTGAGAACTCAGTATGAAAAAGCTGTAAAATATATTGTAGTTTTCATATTCATAAAATGATATTTTAGATATTTGAGGCTAAACATAAATTTTCATTTCGCCTATGTCTTTTTACTTTATTTAACGTGACTAGTAGAAAATGTGAAATCACACACATGGCTCACATTCTGTTTTTAATGGACAGTGCCACTCTTAACTAGAAGGGTAGGGGGTCTAACTGTTCTTTGTAAATACTTTTCAATCAGTTCTCCATTTTTTTCAGGCCTACCCCTCACACATTCACCTCTTCAGAGGAACTTAGTGTTTTCAATTCCTGGGACTTTCTTTTATTCTTTGGCATGAATGGTTAGTTTCTTTATTCATTTGTCCCCTCCATAGGCTTAAGTTTCAGCTTTCTTGGCTCTGTTAGTTGTATCCATCTACTTTTCATACTTAAAATTTGCTTTTCTTGCCTACTGTGTTTCTTTTTTTAATCTTTTTGTTCTTTTAGGTTAGTCCCTTTTCAAAATTCCTTATGGTTATTTCAGATGGTATTTAGGAAGGAATAAAGATAAACATGCATGTTCATGTTTAGCTAACGGGAAGCATACAGTTGAACTTTGATGAAACAGAAACTTGATCATGTCACTGACTGCTGAAAGTCTTCCTGTCTCCGCATTGCAGAAAGTGTAAAGTTCTGTCTACTCGGACCCATTATATCTCTTCTTAGTTTGCTTTTTCTGTGGCTATACTGCATACAACGAACCAGCAAATCCAATGGCTTTGAAAACCAAAAGTTTATTTCTTGCTCATGCTGTGTTTTAGCTGCTAATTGGCTATGACTCTTCTTAGCTTGGTATCTACATCCATGTCATTTTTAACTTAAGACCACCTTTTTAGGGCAGTTTTGGGTTTATAGAAAAATTGAGCAGAAAGTATAGAAAATTCACAAATTTTCACCTCCTCCCTCCCTGCAGTTCATCTATAAACATCTTGAATTAATGTGGCACATTTGTTACAATTGATGCATACTTAAAGTCCATAGTTTACGTTAGGGTTCACTATGTGTTGTGCATATTATGGGTTCTGACAAATTTTTAATGGTGTGTAGCCACTATTACAGTATCATGAAGAATACTTTGAGTGCCCTAAAAATCCCTCCATTCCCCCTCAAACTTGGCAACCAGTGGTCTTTTTATTGTCCATGTCTTTTCATTCATGATTTCAGGCTGAAAGATCACCCCACCTGTGGAAGGCTGTTTTAGAGACAGAGAGAAAAGGGAAAGTGAGCTGGGCAGAAACATATTATGGCTTTTAGCGCTTCTGCTTACAAGTGGAAAGGTCACAGACTTTTGCAGTTGGTTGGCATAAGCCAGTGTCCATGAACAAGGAAGTATATTCCTCCCAAAGGCAGTTGTAACATTGTAGCAAGTGGAGATGTACAATTTTCTTCTAGGGAAAAGGAAAGCAAATAATGGGGGACAGCAATGTACTACGTAGCATCATTGCCAACCCTGACCACTCATTTCTCCACTAACAACCACTCCAGCCATCTCTAATGCATTTCTTTCTCCTCCACATGTGGCCTGCCCTCCTTAAGTCTCTTTACTAAGCAAACTTTCGGTCTTCCAGGATTCAGCTTGCTTACTCTAGAAAGTCATTCCTGACTAAAATGCTAGTCTATCCTGTTGGAATTTTTTTTTTTGCTTTCTTAGCTAAATCCTTTAGGCTATTAGCAGAATTAAATAATCCTACAACATCTGCTTAAGAGAATTTTTCCTTTGATTTCTAATTTTCCTTTGACAATGGCCAAGGTCTTCATAGAAGAAAAAAAATTGCTCATGCCCAGGAGAGAGTGGATTCATGGGCGGTGGTTTCTGATCAGAGATGTGACCACTTACCACTTCCATTGTTTGTGACTGAAAGGTGCAATACAGACTGTGAACTAAGGTAAAAAAAAAAATGTGTAATATAATCGGTGTATGTGTAAAGTAACCAGGTTAAAATCCATAAGTGAACTAAGATGTAAAGCATCTAAAGCATCTAGTGCAGTGCCTGCTTGAATGGCCATGTATGTTAATGTCTATCCTTTGTCCCAGCTAATACAAAATTACAGGCTCGATAACTTATTGTGAAACTTGGCAAGTGAACTTGGCAGTTTATTCATAGTATTTGATGAATACCTCAAACTTCTATCTAGGAAATGGAAACAAATTTATAAAATATATAAGTAAACTCTAATCTTAAAATCCGTGCTTTGAAGATCTGAAACAATAAATTTTGTAGAATGGTGGTGAACTCATGAGCCAATAAACTTTTAAAGTTTGAGGATTGAAGAATTAGTAGATTGGTTCCTCAATCTTCCCAATATTTTGTCCATTAAACATTAAGAAATGTGATCCTAGATTATGGGGCAGGGGAGTTTCCACTTCTAAATTTCCTGTCTTTTGCGGGAGAGGGGCGTATTGGTCTTACCGTAAAGCTAAGAACAACCCCGTTTAGCGAGTGACCATTAAGATTCAGGGGTGGCCAAAACCTCTTGTTCAGCAAGAATGGTAATTTTTGTATATGTTGTTTAAAGACATAGTGGAAAGAACTGCTTGAAGAAATCTCATCCACTTGTGGAGTGAAGCACCAGGTAATCCTTGAGATGCTACTGGGAATTGAACTCCGTGAACTCTTTGCTTCATTATACTGGTGCACCCATATTGCTGGATAGATGGCTAGACTATATATAATTGGGATAGTTTGGCTAAAACTAGCAGATTCTTACTTGCAGAAAAAAAGTTTTCTCTGCAGACCTGTCTAAAAACAGAGTACAAGAATGAGAAATGGGATATGCTTTACAAAAACCTAGTTTTCCAACTTCTAAAGGCTTTGTCTTACTGATAGAGTCAGATTCCCAGATATTCCCTGATCATTTTGAGTGATTGCATAGTGAGATTCTACCTGATGAGTTAAATATATTCATTCTTAAACCTGCCACTAAGTAATTGGGTAATCTTGATCTAGACCAGTTGTTTGCAAAGGTTTTTTTGGGAAATCTTGGGGTTTCTTGGACCTACCTCCCAAACCACCACCAAAAGTCAGAATGAAGTCACCAGGTATAGTGCTGGCTCCCTGTCTCCAGCTTTAACCAGACAACCTCCATTTTTACATATTTAAAGAGTTAGATTTTATTTGTGGGGAAAATGATTTTTATCAAAAGTTCAGCATTTCTACCATGTGAACACATATCCCTAGGCCTCATTTTCTCATCTATAAAAATGGAAGTTTGGGTTTATCTCAGAATTTTTCATCGAAATTAATGGTATATCAGGTATCTTCAGGTGGCTTGTTCATCAATTTTAACAATTTTAAAAAAATGTATGCAAGAGTTTCTCTGAATCCATTTTTTAAAAAATTTTTTTCTAATGTTTATTTTTGAGACAGAGCCAGAGCATGAACGGGGGAGGGTCAGAGAGAGAGGGAGACACGGAATCCGAAACAGGCTCCAGTCTCTGAGCTGTCAGCACAGAGCCCGATGCGGGTTCAAACTCACAGACTGTGAAATCATGACCTGAGTTGAAATCAGACGCCTAACCGACTGAGCCACCCAGGCGCCCCTGAATCCATTTTTTTTAAACTGCATTAATTAGCATCCCTAAGTAAAATAACCTCCTTTTTTCTAGGTGGCACATCATTGGCAAAAGTGAATGCTCATCCCATTGTGGTCAAGGATATAGGTCCTTAGATGTTCACTGCATGAAGTATTCCATTCAGAAAGGACAGACTGTTCCAGTAGATGACCACTACTGTGGTGACCAACTTAAACCTCCCACACGAGAACCCTGCCATGGTGATTGTGTCTTAACAAGATGGCATTATTCAGAATGGTCCCAGGTACAAATAACCAGTATTACTTAAGAAAAGTTGCCACTCTTTTCTTATTAAAAATTTGTTATTTAATTGTTATTTAATTATTTAATTATTAAAGTATATTTTTGTTAAAATCTTCATTCTTCCCATAGGTCACACTGTTTTCGTTTTGTTTTGTCAGTGTTCTAGGAGTTGTGGAGGAGGGGAAAGGTCTCGAGAATCTTACTGTATAAATAACTTTGGCCACCGTCTTGCTAACAGAGAATGCCAAGAGCTTCCCCGCGTGACGACAGAGAATTGCAATGAATTTTCCTGCCCCAGTTGGGCTACTAGTGAGTGGAGTGAGGTAACATTAAAAAGATGAGGCTAAGAACTGTTACAATTTTCTACAGGAAAGCTTTGTGCTCGAAGGCTTTAAAGAACTCCAAAGTAATTTGTTCTTGCTCTATAAATGTATTATCAAGGCAATAACAAATTAATGGTTCTTAAATTATTTAAATCATATACTATCTGGCAACGGTAACATTAGTGTTGAATATCTAACCATTTTCATAAGAAAGTCCCAGTGTTGACAGTACCCTGAGATATTTACATAACCTAAAGTTTAGTACCTTTTTCTAGAACAAATGGACAGCTGCAGTGGGATTGAGGTGGCTGATGTTACTTGCTGAATATCTCTGGAGCAGTGAAGGGAAACTGTCCTTAGAATGGTCTTTCAAGTACATATCAATGTGTGAATTGATTTTTTTTTTTTTTTAGGTATTTGTGTTAACTAATATTGAAAATAATCACTTGTATTTCAGTGTCATGTTACATGTGGAAAAGGAACAAAACAGCGGCAGGTGTGGTGTCAGCTGAATGAAGACCACTTGAGTGATAGTCTCTGTAATCCAAGAACCAAACCTGAGTCTCTAAGACCATGTGAGCTTCACGCGTGTGCTTCCTGGCAAGTCGGACCGTGGGGTTCTGTGAGTATATGAGAAGGATTTTCCTGGTTAAATTCATCTTTATAGAATAGCAGAACAATTATGGTGTCTTTACTCTTTCAATGGATGCAGCTAAATTTGGGTTGGCTTCTTGGAAAAATACCCTTAAAATGTGAACTGTTATCTAAACAATTTTTTTTAGTGCCAATTTCGCTGTGATAAATAGTTCAGCTTTGCTTTTGATTTCACTTGTTCACTAAAATGCTGCAAATTTATTCTTCAGCTTTGTTTAAATTCTAAATATTTTCATTGTCTGTGTCTTAAATTATCTTTACTGCATTTAGATAGAGTTAAGTTTTGTTGTTCAGAAGTTTTGCCAAACAGACAGCTAGGAATTTGCAGGATGAGCAGTGGTCAGGCTGGATGAAGATGGGCAGCCCATTAACCCATGCAGGTTGTCACTGTGGATAGGAAACCTTGTCTCCTCTTCATTCAACTTGATGATCATCTTTCATTATCTCTTTGAAGATAATTTAGTGTATTAAAAGCCATATATACATACACCAGGTAGATTTTGAAAATTATTTAGTTCTCTTAAATTGTATGAACTCTACCTCCAACATATCAAGACTCTATTGAAATTTTTACAAAGCTTTTATTTATTTATTTTTTTTTTGGTTTATTTATTTTGAGAGAGAACATTCCACCTCACGACCACAAGATTATGATCTGAGCCAAAATGAGGAGTTGGATGCTTAACCAACTAAGCCACCCAGGCACTACTTTACATAACTTAAGAATTTTTTTTTTTTAAGTTTATTTTGAGAGAGAGCAGAAATCGGGGAGGAAGAGGGAGAGAAGGAGGGAGAGAGAATCCCAAGCAGGCTCTGCACTGTCAGCTCAGAGTCTGATGCAAGGCTCGAACTCATTAACCAGGAGGTTATGACCTGAGCCGAAATCAGGAGTCATACGTTTAACCAACTAAGCCCTCCCTACATAACTTTTTAAAGATAGAACAGTTGTCCATTTTAACTTCAATATTTTATTATCTATATTAAATGGAATGATATATATGGATTACATTTGCTGATTTTGTGTGGAATCTGGTGTAAAGCACTAATAAGATCTGGAAGTATATTAACCATATTAAGAAAACGTATACAACTTTTGAACAATGGCGTTTGATAAGTGCTTCTATCCTTTCAGTGCACAGCCACATGTGGACGAGGGTATCAGATGCGTGCTGTTAAATGTGTCAATGAGCTACTCAGCGCAGTCTTAGATGACAGAGTGTGCCACGGAGCTAGTCGCCCAAGTGATAGGCAGGTAAAGGACACCTCTTCGTGGATAGTAAACAAAAAGTCTTGTTACAGGAGGATTCCTGTATTTAACTTATTTCATACATATTTTTTTCCTACTTCTATCCCTTGAAAACATGTTTGTGTACCTGTGTGTTGGAGAATTTATCTTTTTGGTGTTGCCAGTTTTGTAGCTTTTTTTACACTTGATCTGCCACTGAATCACTCATTTGTTAGGTATTTTCCTTTGAAATGCACACGGATAGTGTCTATTGTGCATATGAAGTTCTAAAGTGTTTTGTACTACTTGAAAATAGTGTCCTATGTTCATTCAGGATATTTCAGCTTAGTGCTAGTTTTGCTTCTTTCCTTTCAACCATCAGACAGGATGATCCAAACTTTATAATTCAGATTTATACTACCCACTGGGAGCCCTTGACAGTACTTTGTACTTCTGAAAAATAAAAACTTTTGCATCACTAACTTGTAATTCAGCTCTTTTTAAATTAGACGTGCAGAAGAAGAAATGAAGTATAGAATTTGACATAAATTAGAGTGATGAACTTACTGATATTTTGAGATGCATTTTTCTTTTGAACAGGACTGTTCGGTTATGCCTTGCCCAGTTATTCCTAAAATTGGGGCCACTTCATTGCCAGCTATTCCCATGGGAAAGATAGCTCAGTGGCGACATGGTTCTTGGACCCCAGTAAGTGAAATCCTTTAAGAAGTACAGTGTTCGTCTAAAAGCCTCCATAATACATCAAAATGGTTCCATTAGGTTAGCCAAATGAATGTTACGCGTTCATTCTCAGGTAGTTTGATGAGTGGCGTGGGGTTCTGAAATGATGTAATGGCTAAATCCTGCTGTATCTTTTGGGAGTGCTGTGTCTCTGGGCAAGAAATAGAAGTTTTCTGGGTCTGTTTTCTAATCCACAAAAGGGGAATGATAATATTTATATGAAGCAGGTGTGAAATTAGGCTTTTTATCAGCCTTCATTTAAGCTATCCACATTTTCATGTTTTTCTAGACTGAAAACGTTAATGTCTTCGGAGTATATGGTTTGCTTTAATCTTACTTAGAAGCTATATTTGTAAGCTTCACGTATTCTCTGAATAATTTATGGGATCATTTAGACTCTGTTAGGTGTTTAAAGTTACTTAAAGTAAGCTGATTTTTAAATTTTTGTTTATTTTTGAGAGAGAGACAGAATATGAGTGGGGGAGGGGCAGAGAGAGAGGGCAACACAGAATCTGAATCTAGCTCCAGGCTCCGAGCTGTCAGCAAGAGCCCCTTGTGGGGCTTGAACTCACAGACTGAGAGCATGACCTGAGCCAAAGTTGGATGCTTGACTAACTGAGCCACCCATTCACCCCTAAAATAAGCTGTCTTATGAAATGTTTTCTGTATCTTTTTTAGCAAATAATAATCAGTATCCCAAGAAGGAGTATCTTGTTCTCACTGCAGATATCTTGTTGGTGAAATTTATGATCTGAACTGATCAGGGGGATTCATTGCTCTGACTCTACTTGACTCAGTTTACAATTTTTTTCCAAGAAGCATGTTTTAGACATTGGAGCAAAAGCTACTTGGGAGGGCTACTATGTAACCTGTTGGTATAATCCTTTTATTTTTTTAAGTGCTCTGTGTCTTGTGGACGAGGTAATCAAGCCCGCTATGTAAGCTGTCGTGATGCTTATGATGGAATAGCAGATGAATCCTATTGTGCCCATTTACCCCGACCTGCTGAAATATCTGTCTGTTTTAACCCTTGTGGAGAGTGGCAAACTGGGAATTGGTCACCTGTAAGTATTTTTAGGAGAAAAAAAATTAATATTTAGTATAATATAATTTACTACGTTACAAATGTTGGCTAAATTTGTGATCAGTGTTCAGCTTCCTGTGGCCATGGAAAAACAACTCGACAAGTTTTATGCATCAACTACCATCAGCCAATTAATGAGAATTACTGTGACCCTGCAATTCGCCCTTTGATCGAACAAGAATGTAACCTGGCAGCCTGCCCACCCGTGTACAGTCACTTTCCAAGTTCCTCTGAGCGGCCAAGCCATTTTCCAGGCAGGAATTTTCCATTAACTCACAAACCAGAAGATAATCAAAATCAGAGGGTCCATCTGTCAATCAGCGGAAATCAATGGAGAACAGGACCGTGGGGATCAGTAAGCCGTCTCTATTGAGTTATATTAATTCTGTAATTTTGTTACAGCCTTTTATCAGATAGGTATGTAATGACATCAAATACTTTTAATGCTAAATTTATCTGAAGATCAATAGTTTAAATCGTAAAAGGATTAAGCGATTTTTGATGCAAATTACAAATCCCCAGAGTTCTCATTGAATTATACACTAATGTGATATTATGATTACAGAAGAATGCACTTAAAAACAATCTGGTTGGAGTGCATTATAATAAAAAGCTTCTAATAGGTCAAGACTGTGAAGAAAAATCAAACCTAGAAATTACGTGAAGAGTGCAGTAAGCTGGTATAAAATCATGAAACTACAAAAGGCAATTACAGCCTTTTGTTTTTACATAAAAGTTAGGAGACAAAAAAATAGCAGTATCAAAGCTGAGAGACTTAATCTTTTTCTTTTTTTTTTAATTCCTTCCTAGTGAGATCTTAAAACTTTAATTCCTTTTTACTTCACACCCAGGAACGGGGTGAATTTGCTCTTGCCAGCTTTACTGTTGCACCTTCTCATCGACAAATCCAAGTACGCTCATGTTTCTGGTAGAGTTTCTCGATTGAGATTGTCCCAGTGATGGGGATTTTAGAATGGAGAGTCAGAATGCCGATGCCTTTTCACCGTGTAATTTGACGCTGCGGTGTCTCCGGTGTGTGTGTGTCCTCCTTGTCAGTGCTCCAGTAGCTGTGCGGGAGGCGTGCAGCACAGAGTCGTGGTCTGCCAGGATGAAAACGGACGAAGTGCCGGTTACTGCGATGCGGCCGCGAGGCCCCCAGAGTCCAAGCGCTGCGATTCAGGACCTTGTCCGCGGTGGAACTTTGGAAGCTGGGGAGAAGTAAGTCCCATTTTCTAAGCTTGCAGAGATGATAACATCTCTCAAGACTGAAAGTTGAGTACTTCACCCTGTTCCTGTTGGATGATATAACTTCACTATACTATACAGAAAGATTTATTTTTAGTAAAATCAAGTTCTTCTAATAGACTAAATCACTCATTTGCAATAGGAAACTAGTCCAGATTTTTTTTTAACAGAATCTCCTATGCATGCCAATATGTCTGAAACTAATACCTTTCTAAAACTAGTATATTATTGTTTTCTTAGAAAATATGGTTGATCTAAAGATAGAAAATTAGATTGCTCTATTGGCCATGCTTGTGTCTTATTACTGAGCCATTCATTTAGTGAATTTTCTGAGCAGAAGGGGGTCAATTATCAAGCACTTCATGTGCTCGCATTCTTCTAGACACTGGAGATAGGAAGAATAATTTTTAAAGCCATTGTAATGAATACTAATTCCACCTATATTATGCATGAAAAAGATTAAGACTTATATTGGCTTTAGATGAACAAAATAAACCACCTAGTCAAATATTTATAATGGGTTTTAGTATATATTTCCCCAGAGTATTTGGAAATCATTGATTAAAGATACATTTCTGAACAGGTGCCAATATCAAGTACATTTTAAAAAGTTCTTTTACCATTTCCAAAATGAAAATGGTATTTTTACTCCTGACTTTAGGCATGCTCATTGTAAAAACTCAAACGATATGAAAAATTACAAAGAGATGAGAACTTTTAACTTTTGATACATTTCCTTCCAGACTTTTCTTCTTGCGTGGGTTCCACAAATAGAACCATATTACATGGGCTTCTTTGCCCCCTGCTGTTGTCACGTAACACATACTGAACATCTTTCCCTGTTTACAAATTTAGATCTTATTAGCTTTCATGGCTAGCCAGGTATCTATAGATAGGCTACCATAAATTATGTAGTTAATTATTAAATCAGTTTTATTTGACTTGTCTACCTTATAGACCCTTGATATCTTAATGCAACATCTTATGGTATAATTCTCAACATTTTGTCTAGTTTTTGAATTATAGAACTAACACTTTTTTACTCAGGAAGAAAACTCTAGCATTACGACTTAGGTATGAAACAGTGAATTAAGCAATATAATACTGTCTTTCAAACCACATAGTTTTGAATTTTCTTATTTTTAGTGTACACAAACATGTGGAGGAGGAATAAAATCAAGATTCGTAATATGTCAGTTTCCCAATGGCCAAATGTCACAAGAGCAAAACTGTGAGATCTTAAGCAAGCCACCTAGTGTGGTGCAGTGTCATGTGCATGCTTGCCCTGGTGACGTATCATGGCATCGGGGACCATGGAAGTCGGTACGATAGTGTTCTTATTTTTGTCCATTTTGTTGTGTTTTACTGTGACCCTTTTACCTTAATTTCTTTATACATTGTGGTGCACACTCTATCTTATTTTTTAAGAAGATCACTGGCCATCTTGGCTTATGTCACTAAATTTGATAGTTTGGAAGAAGAATCCATTCAGTTTCAAGTAATGTAATATATATAATCTTAGATGTATTTATTTTTTTACAAGTGAATTTTGAACCATAGCACTATTCTAATGGACATATTTTCCTCCAGTACATCTTTGGCTTGTCCTCTAATTATAATTGTTTCACTGTATACATTTGTAAATAATGTTAACATTGTGCTTGTTACAATGGCAAATTAAGGCTGTGTCTTGTTTAAGTGTATAACTGTACGTGGCTTTTGTCTGTCAATGTCTAGTAACTGATCCAAAAGCAAATAACATTCTTTAAAACTGTCTTTTTTTTATCATTGTTAAACTTAGTATTTTGTTTGGAAATGTGAAAATATTAAAAGAGAAATTTAAAGTGAATTGTTAAAGTTTGTTACATACATCACAGAAAAATACTTGTATAGTAATTTATATGAATCTTCCACTGTGTGGAGTTACGTTTTGGGGATGTTTTAATTTATTTTTTTTTTGAAGCCATAGACAAAATTCATAAGTATTGTTCATGACTGGTTTATTTAAGTATATTTCAAATATCCAGGCTTTGAAGAATAATTAATATATAAATATGTTGAAATGAACATTTTGGTCACCTTTCATATTTTAAATCATGAACAATCAAGTATACTTTTTCCAACTGAAGAACTGTTGTGAGTCTGTCTCTATAAAGCTCTACAGTTCTTTACTTGGAAAATAATTATAACTCTGGCTTTATGATCCAACCCTGATGTCTGCACTTGGTTTGCTTTCCCCAAGTCAAAGCTTTACAATGTGATATGAACAAAAGTTCCAATTCCTATTAGAAGAGTAGGTCAAGTTCTAGTTCAGGCTGAAATGCCTCTCTGTAGTCAGTGTGACTGATGGAAAACGACAGGAAAGTTTACCATTATAGGAGGATCTTAAACTGCTGCATCACTTTGTTGGAACTAACGTAAACCTATTTTGCCATAGAAGGCATTCACATATTTACTTAGTAAAATATTGACCATCTATATCCAGGTAGTGTAACAGAAATCAAGACCGATTTCTTACTCCTATGGAGTTTTATAGTCTAGTTGGAGAGATTTGAAATAATATAGGAACTCACTATAGAAGATATCTTTTTAGGTCAACTATCTTAGTGGAAATTTACCTTCTCTTTACTAGATCTGTTACGGTGTCCTTCATTTTTTTGACATTACAAGCCTAGTTCTTAATAAGGCTATGGATTGTTTCTTGGAGTTTTGTCCCAATTCGGAAAGCAGACTCCTAACCACTTAGAGGGTTAAATTGTAATGGCATTTATTTCTGAAGTACCTAAAATTGTTTCAGTGATATTTTTTGTTTGAGGGGTCAGCAGACTATGGCCCTAGATCAAATCTGGCCTATTGCCTATTTTTGTAAATAAGTTTTATAGGAACAGTCATCCACACTTTTTTGTTTTCAAAGTGTTACCCATGGCTGCTTTTGGTACTACAGTTATTGTAATAGAGACTGGCTCTTAAAGCCTGAAATATTTACTGTTTGGCCCCTTTTGGGAAAAGTTTGCCGATGCCTGCTCTATGTAATAACCATAATGCTTTTTAAATTTAGCATAAAATACTGAAAGTTATAGACTATTAGAATTATAAATATTCATTTGGGGTCAGTTTTCAGTGTTTTTCATTCTTCAGTATTTTAAAACCTCCTACGAGGTTTGTCAGCCTTCTCTACATACTCGGTATCGTATCTACACAATTTCTTTCCAGCTTTGAGATACAATTGGCATAGAACGTTGTGTAAGTCTAACGTATACAGTATCACACAATGTTTATATATTGTGTTGGAAGTCATCTAATACTGTATTCCGATATATTTGTGTCATGCTCTTTTTGTATGTAAATTGTAAGTGAGAAACCTGAATGTTCAGTAAGGTTGTGTGCATGGATAACTTTTTCAGCCTCACAAAAACCAATAACCAAGAAAATACCCAGTTACAAAAAAGTAACACAGAAGTACACAGTTCTTCATTACTGCGTGTCTATTCCAAAAGGATCTCACTGAATAATTCACACTCTGCACTAGTGAGGAATTGTAGTGTCTTTTTCTCAGAAATTGAAGATGAAAATTTTAAAATCACAATGTTTATATCAGAGTTTTTACAAACTTATTTATTCACTTTTTATAGGTATAAAGTACACACATATTAAAGTGCCTGGATTTCTTTTATTATATGAAGAATTTTATTCCTTAAATTAGCCTTTTATATTAAAAGAGTTTAAGGGATCTGAAATGTTTTTTGTTGTTGTTGTTGTTGTTAGAACTAGATATAACCTTTTACCTCTTTGTGTTGCTACATATTAGCCAAACTTCAGAATACCTCTTATTAACATATCAGGTTAATGTTCTTTCAAGGGTAACTTTAATTTCAGCAGATCATATACACTAGGTTAGAAAATTACAAATGTGTGTGTATATGTATACATATACATACAGGAATGACATGAAATCTCAAACGTTTCATTTTAAAGTAAAATTGTAAAGTGTTAAATCATTTAAATGTGACTAGGAAGAAAGTTGTAAATACACATTTAGATTTGCTCCATCTTGTGGAAAATCTTGTAATTTATGAGCATGATTAAAGAAACAAATCTTAACATATGTCTGTTAATTTAATGACTATTTTTGTGATTAGTCCATGTGAAATGATTCTATTTTAACCCTTGTTTATTAATGACATGTGTTGTGGCTTTGTGCTTTGCATAATTCGTATGTATGTTGTATTTTTACTACTTGGATCAATACCTGAAATGTTTTAAGTCTCTGAATAGATCCTGTATTGTAATGAAAGCCTCTTTTCTCTTGGTGCTGTTTTTCTTAAATTAACAAATCATTAATTTCTTATTAAACATTTAATTGTTGAATAGTACATGGTGTTAATAATTTGAGTTTTAAGCTATTAATATTTTAAATCTGTTAGAAACTAACATTGGCATTTAAAAAACAAGATCTATTGTTAAGCTATCAATTTTAAATACTAGAAGTTTTTATATTTCTATATATTATAAACAATAAAAATTTATGGTGTCACATTATTTAGTAAAAAATAGATGTGCTCATGACCAAGATGGTCCTTAAAAGGTGAGTAAAAGTTTTGTTTTTCTCTTCTGTTGCATGTCTATTAATGTTACATATGTAGTCAAACTGTTCTAGCAAATGCCCTTTAAGTAAATTCATAATAACTTATTTTCCCATTATCTCTTTTAACGGGTTCATTTTCCTAGAATGCTTTTATTCTCTACATAAAATGAAGTCATGTTTGGTAAGAAAATAGGCATCCCATTGTGTTCTAGGGTTAATGATCCAACAGAACTAAAGAACTTATTTTTTGTCTTTTTGTTAAGAATTGTTTTTTCCTCCAAAAACGAGACAACTCATTAAAAAAAAATTTTTTTTAATGTTTATTTTTGAGAGAGACAGAGGCAGAATGTGAGTGGGTTAGGGGCAGAGAGAGAGGGAGACACAGAATGGGAAGCAGGCTCCAGGCTCCGAACTGTCAGCACAGAGCCTAATGCGGGGCTCGAACTCACAGAGCTGTGAGATCATGACCTGAGCTGAAGTCAGACGCTCAACTGACTGAGCCACCCAGGCACTCCCACGAGACAACTCATTAAAAAAAGACAGCTTGATATTTGAATCTTCTAGATTCTAGGACTTTCTCCCAAAGTGTTTCTTTTTTTAAATGTATACAGAGGCTTGTATCTGTAATCTCTAATGTGACAGAGAATGCAACCAAGAGAAGCACTTTTAGCAATGAGCATGTGGTACCAGCATATACCTAGTAAATCTATACTGTCAAGTTCACAGTCTCCTGTAACAAAAGAACGTTGAGGGTCTCAGGGCAGGGACTGGGAGGCTTCTTCCACTGGGGCTCTCACTCTGGGTGAAAGAAACTTGTTACTGCCTCTCCCTAAGGCCAGCAGCAGCCAGGGGAAAGGTAATGTGTTGGGAAATGGTTCAAGAAACTGTCAATTCTTTGTGGAGTGGAGAATTCAGTAAAACTATAGTAATTTATTTTCTTATATTTGGAAAAGATCTACATAACCGTAGTAAAAAGCTGGAAACCTATTTTATTCCATGTTATAGTTGAACAGACTTTATCAGGAAGTATTAAACTGTTTCCATTTGTTGCTATATCTTTCTACTATACATCATGGGCTGTCACCAAGGTAATGTGCATCCCCTACAGGTTAGACACTGGGCACTAGATAAATCAGGCACAATCCCTGCATACAAGAAGTTTTCAGTTTAGTGATGAATGTACTACATAAACAAATGGTCAGAATGCAGAATTGGATTCCTTTTTCATTTCAGTAACTATGTGATTTATAATATTGCAGACTCATACTGGAACCTTAATACACTGTAATTATCCAATAATTAGTGATGAGGATTGTACTTGAGAACATAATTTTGACAGATTTTTCTAGAAAGCCAAACTAGTAGGATATATTTCATTATAGCCTGGCAAGAAATGTGTCCTAAGTCCCTATGTGAGAATTGTTTTTGCATAATTTGGGCATCTGCCTCCTTGATGTAGGTGGCTTTCATGCCTCACCAAAAGGGAGAGCATGCGCCAAGATAGAGGATGGTATGAAGATAATCTTGGAGACACAAATGGGCCTTGTAAGTTTAAAATGGAAAACATAGAAAAAATTTAAGTAGATATATACTGATGAGATCATAAGAGACTTGTGTTTTATACTGAATGAAGTTAGAATGTTAACTCTAAAAAAAAACATGAAATGGTGATATTCTGTTTTTCTTTACACATCTATATTAAAATGGACATGTGTTGATAATTCTGTATTCCCAGACA